CCAAGTGCTGCGATTACATCTGTGTGCCAGCACACCACCGGGCTTTGTATGCCTCTTTTAAAATCTGGGCTCACAAGGGAGTTCCACGTGCAGATGCACTGACACAGATGACTGCCAGCTCCTAACTGGGGTTACTCCTGATTGTCAAAAGATATTGCGGGGAGCTAGAAGACTTATTCCAGAACTACTACTAGAGCTCAGATTCTAAAACTACCTCATGAACGAAACTCTTATATTCCCTTCTGAACTTTTAGGGGCCAATATAAAATTCCAATAAAAGGCATGTTATAAAAAAGGCAACATTAGAAATACATGTAGGTTATTACAGGAGTATTGTTTAAAGGTGGAGGGGGATAAAGAAAACAATGTTTAGCTGGGCAGTGGTGGCTCACACCTTTAATTCCAGCACTGGGGAGGCAGAGGCAGGCAGTTCTCTCTGAGTTTCAGGCCAGCCTGATCTACAGAGTGAGTTCCAGGACAGCCAGAACTGTTACACTGAGAAACCTTGCCTGGAAAAAAACAAAAGAAAACAAAAACCCAACCCCCAAAAAGAAAAAACAATGTTTTACCTCATCAAGATCTTTTGTCTCTCTTCCCAGTTCATCATCATCTTCATCAGAATCAAGCTCTGGTCCAATGTAATTCCCAAATTCATCATACAAGTCAGTATCCATGATGCTACAAGTCAAGAAGAGAGGAATCAGATCTGGCAAGTCCTGAAAGCCTGCATCACACCCTGTCTCCTTTACACACCTTTCCCTCAGGAGTTAACTTGTGACTGACCAATCTACTGAAGACTCTCCCCAGAGCCCAGGACTTTCTCCACTTCTCTGTCCTCTAATTTTACCTATTTACACACCCCCTCACCCTCTTGACTTTATTTAGGGACAGGGCTTCTTGTTGCCCAAGCTGGTCTCAAACTCTATGTAGCCCACACTGGTCTTAAACTCCTGATCCTCCTGCCTTAGTCTCTTTAAGTGCTGGGATAACAAACATATGCCCTGTGCCTGGCTTTATTTATTTACATTTTTTATTTATTTTTATTTTCTGTGTATAGGTGTTTCGCCTGCATATATGTCTGTGTACCATGTTTCTAGACATAATGCCCACAAAACCAGAAGAGGAAGTCAGATGCCCTGAACTGAAATTCTAGACCAGGTGTAAGCTAACGTGTGGGTAGTGAGAATCGAACCTTGGTCCTTTGAAAGAGTAGCTAGTACTCTTAACCACTGAGCCATCTCCCCATTCCCACCTGGTTTTATTTTTAATTTTAAAGACAGGGTCACTGCTACCCAAACTGGCCTTGAACTCTAGATCTTCTCCCTCTGCCTCCCAAGCTGACACAACAGGTAACTCGCGCCCAGTCCACCCTCCCCTTTTCTAAATGTATTTACTCAATTAAATTTATTTACATGTGTGTACATGTCTGTGTGTGTCTATGTGTGACTGTATGCACATGTATCAAAGACAGCACTGGATCCTTTGGGGAACACAAGGATTGTCACATGGGTACTAGGATCTGATTGCCACTCTTCATGACTGCCTAGCAAGTGCTCTTAACTGCTGAGTCATTTCTCCAGCCTCTCACTTCTTTTTTTATTTTTTATTTTATTTATTTAATTTATTTATTTATTTTGGTTTTTCGAGACAAGGTTTCTCTGTGTAGCTTTGCGACTTTCCTGGATCTCGCTCTGTAGACTAGGCTGGCCTCGAACTCACAAAGATCCGCCTGCCTCTGCCTCCCGAGTGCTGGGATTAAATGCGCTATGCTGATCGGGTGTCCGCACTAAGTTCGGCATCAATATCGTGACCTACGGGAGCAGGGGACCACCAGGTTGCCTAAGGAGGGGTGAACCGGCCCAGGTCGGAAACAGAGCAGGTCAAAACTCCCGTGCTGATCACTTCTTTTTTTAATACTAACATTCTCAAAATATCACAATACAATCATCAAAATCAGAAAATTAATACTGGCAGACTATTCTACCTAATACACAGGTCTGACAGACTGTTTCAAAAATGAACTGCACAGTCAAGGATGCAAACCAGGATCATATGCTTGCACTGAGGTAGCTATATTCTTTTAATTTACAACAGTTTTTTAGTCTTGATTTTTATGCCACTTTTGGAGATTACAAACCAATGATTTTGTAGAATATCCCTTCATGTGCATTTGCTTGCCTATATTACACTCAGGTTGCGCATCTGGAGCTGGGATATCACAGAGGGATGTTGTGCTCTTTTCGGTACACAATTCCAACTTGTCCTTATTGATGCTAACTTTGATCCCTCAATTAAGGTGGCAGCTGACAGGCTTTTCATTATAAAATTACTCATTTCCCTTTTTTTTTTTTTTTTTTTTTTTTGGTTTTTCGAGACAGGGTTTCTCTGTGTAGCTTTGCGCCTTTCCTGGAACTCACTTGGTAGTCCAGGCTGGCCTCGAACTCACAGAGATCCACCTGGCTCTGCCTCCCGAGTGCTGGGATTAAAGGCGTGCGCCACCACCGCCCGGCTAGTTAACTATTTCTTACTCTCACCAACAACTCTACAGTTCACAAAGCATCAGCCTGGGGGTTAAAGACTGATTCATCACATCTTAACCTCATCTCTAACAGTGACATGGCTCAGGGCAGTCACTTTACCTCTCTCCACATTTCTTCAAGCAGAAAAACGGAGCGAAGAGTGAAGGCATAAAAACTTTTAAAGGTGCCAAGGAGCTGGCTCAGCGGGGAAGAGCGCACAAAGCCAGACGCAGCTGCACAAGTATCTGTGATTACAGAAGGCCTACAGGAAATGGGAAGCAGAGATTCTTCTGAAGCTCAAGAGCCAGCTAGCCTGGTACTGGCAGTGATAAGGAGACTCCATCTCAAAAGAGGTCAAAAGATGAGCACCAAATCCCAATGGCTGGCCTCGGACCTCCACCTGTATACTACAGCACACTTGCACCCTTACTCACTACACAAAAATATGCACACACACACACACACACACAATATGATTAGTTGGGCATAGAGCCTTACACCTGTAATCCTACATAGTGAGCTAGAGGCCACCCTGAGATATATGAGAGACCCTGTCTCAAAACACAACAGCCAGGCAGGCAGTGGTGGTGCAGGACTTTAATCTCAGCACCTGGGAGGCAGAGGCAGGTTGAGGCAGAGGCAGACGGATCTCTAAATTCTAAGTTCAAGGCCAATCTGGTCTACAGAGCAAGTTCCAGGATAATCATGGCTACATAGAGAAACCCTGTCTCCAAAAGCCAAACAAACCAAACAAACAAACAAACCAAAAAAAAAAAACCAAACAAACAAAATGTTGGTGAGCATACAATGTGACCATTCCTGAGTATGAGAATCCCTGTGCTTCTTTGTGCTCACCTGCCAACACCCCAGACAGCACCATGCCCAAACAGTAATTTAATAATGTCAACTGAATGGAATTTTCAAGTTTGAAATTCTGATATTTCTTGTAGTGGAATGAATACCTTAAGGAAATCTGCTGAGTACTGACTGTAAATAAAATACAAATTTAGAGTGCTAATCACTGGTAATTAAATGTAAATCATTAATAGAAACTCTGATATATGTATTGTTTTTATTTCTAAGATGCTACCATATTTATATTCATTTCATTCTCCCAAAACTCCCATCAAGCGATGGCACAGACTTTTACAGAAAGTTGTTTATTGAACAAGCCAGGCTCATTTCTTCCTCAGAACCACTGTACCTGTCATTCCCATCGTCCTCCGGCTATTTATACCTTGTTAACTCATTTCTCCTTTAATATCACCTGCTTGTCACTCTAAAAATTCCCCCATATACACTTGCCAAGCCCCCCTTACACTAATGTGTGTGTGTGTGTTAGGGTGCTTAGGATCAAATCCTGGGCCTCACACTCTACTAAACATTCCACCACTGGGTTATATCCCCAGCCTAAGCAAATAAAGCCTTTGCTTGAATAGTACTTGGGGAACAGGTGTGTATATTTGCTACTGATAAACGTTAATAATAAAATCGGAGCCAAAAACCAAAAACAGTGCAAAGCACAAAACAGACCCCTAATGGGCCCTCAACAAGATTTGTTGGGGTTTTTTTTTTGGGGGGGGGGGGTGGCTAATGGGAATTAATGACATGGTTAGTTCAGCAAAGCTAGTCTCTAAATACTAAACCTGCATTTTCCCGCTACAACGCAGATTCTCAAAGGAATACTGAATCTTTTCTGTTTGGGTTTTTTGAACCAGACTCACTGCTTAGCCGAGGCTGGCCTTGAACCTGCAACAATCTTACTGCCTCGATCTCCAGAGCAGGAGAAACAGGCGTTAGCCATCACAGTCAGCTCGGATGCCTATTATTTTGAAGGTCGGGAAAACTTGGCGGTGAAGGAGACACCGATGGAAGGGGGAATGGCAAGGGTCTGGGTCGTTAGAGCGCCACCTCTACCCAGGGACAGGATTTAAACCGTGCAGGGTAACGAGGAAACCCCGGAATCATCAGTGAGTGCGTGTGTTGGGGGGGGGGGGGGGGAGGTGTCTTTCACTCCCTTTCCCACTCCAGGCTCCAATTTACCCCTGTGTGAAGCGAAAGGGATAAATACTATATAAATCGCCTCTTCCCAAGCTCATGTTCTCCCAACCTCCCAGAGCACCCTTCCCCGGCCAGCTCACCCGCCGCCTGCTCAGCCGAGCGCTCCGAGTCCGCCGCCTGAGCCCGCGCTTCCGCTGCACGCCGCGACAACGCCGGCGCCCGGCGCCAGGAAGGACCCCGAGCGCGTCGCCGGCCCGCTGCTCCTCGGAGGACAGCCCTCTGCCTGAAAAACAGCTTCGAGAAATGCTGGCTTCGCAGAGAGAAACGGGACAGACCGACTTGTTGCTCTTCAAAACAAAGCGTAAACTGCTCCAAAGAAAAGCAAGGCCGGAGCATTCACGATTCTGATCAGGCGCCTTGGGACACCCTGAAAGGAAAGGGCCTCCGGGCGGGCCACGTGGGCAGGCTAGTGGAGCTGTTGCTAGGCGACAACCGCTGTTGGGAGGGCGATACACAGGCGTTCTAACAGATCGGGAATTTTCCTCTCAAAGAAAACAAGGGATCCAAGACTGGGGCTGCTGGGTGAGGGTCTAGGGACAGTGTAAAGGGGATAATTCTAGTCATTTTATGATTGGAGAAGGCTTAGAACTCGTCAGGGAGGTGGACGGGTGGTGGGAGTCTCAGCTGCTCCCGAAGCTGAGCCTGGAGGAAAGATCATGAGCTCAGATGTTTTGGAGAGAACAGCCTGGACTACATAGCTAGACACCACCACCATCCTCCAAAAATTGATTGGCTAGGATCTGAGACACTTGAGTCCAGTTGCTGGGCTGCTAACAGCCCACTCCGCACTCCACTTCCCATCGCTGGGGTCGGCGGGGGTGGTTGTGGAGTTGCTTGCGGACCAGCACATTTCCTGCCTTAGGGCTGATCATGAGTGAACCTCCATGTCTAGTTCGGGCTCACCAGGCTTCTGAGGTGGAGAGGAGTCTCACAAGTAAATGTCGGAGCCCAGACTGGAACACATAGATTCCCTTTAAGATAGCGGGTCAGATTCATAGCGGGAGGCTGCAGAACTTCAGTGGTGGGGCTGGAGATAATGCCCACACACCACACAACCAGTGCCTGCAGCCCTCCATTGGTCAGGGATTTGGGGATGTAGAGCATTGACCTTTTTCCCCCTGAGGATGGAAGCTACTGAACTTTTTCTCTTCTGCCGCTTTTCCTCGACCCCCTGCTTAGTCATTGATTTTGGTTTAGGTGAAAGTATTTTTTCCTCCATTAAAAATACTTAGTGAAGTGTGAAATTTTGCCCTTGAGCTCAAGAGTAACTAATAAGAGTCTCTCTCTCTCTCTCTCTCTCTCTCTCTCTCTCTCTCTCTCTCTCTCTCTCTCTCTCTCTCTCTTTCTCTTCCTTTGTGGCAACAACCTGCCATAGAGAAATCCTATGTGAAAGGATGAAGGTTCAGAATTCTGAGATCTAAATGCTTTCTCAGCTGAAACACCCCCACTCCCCAATTAATTGCTTTGTGGTGGTGCTGGACATCAAACCCAAGGTCTTGCATTCACTAGGCAAACTTCTACCGCTGTGCTAGCCCTTAGCGTCTAAAATACTGTTAGAAGGAGAGAATGAAATGAAGACTTCAAACTGGAAGCTTTCTCTTCTGTTTTCCGTGAGAAGCCTTGAATACGTCTTCATCATGCAATTCCATTTGATCTGTAAAGGAGGAAACTAGACTTTTGTAGCGCTCCAGGATACGTATCGGATTGCTTTGGGTTGTTTCACCTTTCTGGCTAAGAATCCCAAGGCATTGTGTTTTCCCTGATACTGAGCCTCTGCTGATGCGCATTCTTCTTGCCTTCCCAGGCCTTAGCCATGGAAAAGAATGATGCAATCAACTTCAAGGCTTTGGAGAAGGAGCTGCAGGCTGCACTTGCTGCTGACGAGAAGTATAACAGAGAGAATGCTGCCAAGTTACGGGCTGTTGAACAAAGAGTGCCTTCCTACGAGGAGTTCAGGTTGGCTTGCAGCTGTGTTCAGCAGGCCCTTCCGTCACGGTGGGCTGCAGAAGTTAAAAGCAAGCAGTCCAGATTCAGATCATTCTGACCTTCTGTCCTGCCCCCACCCTCTACTACTCGGTGATCTCACCCAAGCTCATTACCCTCGCTGAGACCCAGTTCTATCTGTAAAAGAGAGAAATGGGCCGGGCGGTGGTGGCACGCGCCTTTAATCCAAGCACTCGGGAGGCAGAGGCAGGCAGATCTCTGTGAGTTCCAGGCCAGCCTGGGCTACCAAGTGAGTTCCAGGAAAGGCGCAAAGCTACACAGAGAAACCCTGTCTTGAAAAACCAAAAAAAAAAAAAAAAGAGAGAGAGAGAGAGAGAAATGGCTGTTACAGCTCTTTGAGTGATGATTGCATGTAAGACTCTGAGCACAATAGCTAGCCCATTTGAGGTGTATGAGTGCTTTTAGCTATCTAGGCTACTGTTGTTGTTGTAGTGGCCGCCCTATTTCCTGTCAACAAGCCTGGCCGAGTAGTTTCCTCACACTCAGAGAAACATTAAGTTTCGATCTCTATCTTTGGCCCAGAGGTATTGTCCTTGCATCACACCTGAAACCTCTGGAACAGAAGGACAAGGTGAGAGGAAAAAGAACTGTGCCGTGGAACTGTCACAGTACTAGGGAAAGGACTTTTCAGGATGTGGCCACTGAAATACCCCAGGTAGGTGTGGGCCAGCCTCTCTAGCCCAGCAGGATTTCTCTGTGCTAAAACTTTGACCTTGTCTGCTTACAACACATATCACTTCCTTATGTCTCATGGAAGCCAACAGAAACAGACTTTTCCCCTCTAATCCCAGAACAGCAATCAGATGGTGGGACTGAGTTGAATTGGGCTCAGCAGTCCTTTAACATTCCGTCTCAGGTCAGTGGTAAATAGTATAATGACCCTGTGGCATTATTAGAGAGGGACCCAGCCTGTCAGACCCTTGACTCTTACTTTGAGTTCCTTTTTCTCTGCCAGAGATTTACAGTAAACTCCCCAATTTTCTCAGAGCAATCTTTGACTTAACTGTAAAAGGCCAAGAACTATGTTTCCTTTCTCAGGAGGAAAATCCAAGTACAAATGAGACCTTCAAATCATAGCCTGGATTCCTTGGGCCTGCCCTCCCTCCTTTCATCCCCAGCTCCCTCATCTGAAAATGAGGCTACAGAGGCCAGCCTTCCCAGAGCTCAGAGAATAGTTGCAGCACTAAGATGAAAACCCATAACCCCCCTCCCATTACAGTTGCAGAGCGGCAAGATGAGCTCTGGACCTGCTTCCCTTTGTAATGCAGGAGAAATCACCCTTCCAGCCTGCAACCTCTGCAGAGTTTTACCGTGATTGGCGGCGACACTTAAGAAGTGGGCCAGAGCGCTACCAAGCCCTGCTTCAGCTTGGGGGTCCCGAGCTGGGCCACCTCTTCCAGATGGATGTGGGCTTTGGACTTCTCGGGGAGCTGCTGGTGGCACTGGCTGAGCATGTGAAGCTAAGTGACCGGGCGGCAGTGCTAGGGATTCTGCACAGCTTGGCTAACACTGGACGATTCACCTTGAACCTGAGCCTGCTGAGCCCTGCAGAGCGAGAGGGCTGCCAGCGCTTGTTTGAGAAGTTGCAGGCCATGGGCACCACCAGGTCCATGCAGGAAGGGCTTAGCATGGAGGAGCCATCTGCTGGGCTACCGGGGGAGGAGGAGCTCCTACAGGAGCTGTTAGGGCTGTATGGGGTCCACTGATGGGACTGGCTGCCCTCAGCATTCCCCAGTGGTCTCAGAAAGCATTTTTAAAAAAGACTTGTTTCATTTTATGTGTCTGAGTGTTTTGCCTACCTGTATGTCTGTCCACCATGTGTGTGCCCAGTGCCTGTGGAGGTCAGAGAGGGTGTACGTACAGATGGTTGTTTTAAGCTGCCGTGTGAGTGCCGGAATCAAACCAACCCCAGTCCTCTGGAAGAGAAACCAGTTCTCTTAACCACTGAGCCATCTCACCAGCCCCCTAGGAACGCATTTTGTGGTGGTTATCTTGGGGTTTCACAGAAGTATTGAAAGAAGTGTTGGGAGAAACCCACACCCACTTCCCTTTTCAGGTAGTGGGCTTGCCCACTTCTCCAAATCATAATTTTATCTATGTGGATCCCCAGGATACCAAGGACCCAATGGTTGAGGGTGTTTTGCTACCTACCTTTTGAGTTTGCCATGTCCCTATCCTTGAGAGGTGGGTGTGTTTTCATCTAAATTCTGGCCACACAGAGCTTCCTCCTAGAGGAAAAAAAAAAAAAAAGTAAACTCAGCCAGGTGGTGGTGGTGCACACCTTTAATCCCAGCACTCGGGAGGCAGAGCCAGGCGGATCTCTGTGAGTTTGAGGCCAGCCTGGTCTACAGAGTGAGATCCAGGACAGGCACCAAAGCTATACAGAGAAACCCTGTCTAGAAAAACCAAAAAAAAAAAAAAAAAAAAAAAGTAAACTCACTGACTTCTAATGAAAGATAAGCACTGATCATAACTCTTAACCAGAATATTTATAACCCAAAGCCAGTGAATGAACAGCCAATCAATAATAAGCAAAGGCTCCTTCATTTGAGATGCAGAATTTTCCCCCAGAGACCTAGTTCTTTCCACAGGTTGAGCCTGGGAAATTCCCAATCTATTGGCTCAGGTCTGGCCAGCATCCAGATGACCAGCTGTGCAAGGGAGGGTTTCTGTTATCTCTCAGGTTGAGGAAAGGATGCTGTCCTGGGCAGGCAGGGCGGAGGGCGCTTACAGCTCACTCTGGTTTCCCTTGACCCATTCTTGGGTGAGTGCCAGTGTTCTAGAAAGGTGAGAGAGTGCCAGGTTCTAGAATGATTTTCCCTCGAGATCGGCCCTGGTGCATTAGAACAGCATCTTGTACATCAGCTGGGAATAAATTGCCTTGCAACGGCTCTCTCGTCTGCAGTTTCGGGCTTCGTTCACTGGTTGTTTGAACCTCTCTTTATACAGCAGCCTCCCCTCGGCAGTCGGTAGTCGTTTCGAAAAAGCCATATTCTTTGGTGCCTTGGGTTTTGCCCTGCCCCCTCAAGATCCTCCTTCCTACAAGCATGAGGCTGGTCCACACTACCGTGCTCTTGTGGGCCTGGGGTAGTCTCCAGGCCTTTGAGATCGTGGAGAAGGAGAACATCTTTCAGAGGACGCCCTGCCCGGCTTTCCTGATGTTTGATAACGCGGCCTATCTGGCTGACATGAGCTTCGAGCTCCCCTGCCACTGCAAACCTGAGGATGTTTCGGCTGTGGTCTGGTATTACCAAAAGCACCTGGGAAGCAGCCACACCACAGTGCTGACAGACTTTGATGGGCGCTTGCTCACAGAGGCGGCTCATGTTCGAGTAGGCAGCAGCATGCTGGTCCGCTTCAGCATCCGCATGTTCAGCCTGTTGGTTTTCCGGGCCCAGCCAGAGGACTCAGGCCTATATTTTTGTGGCACCCGTAAGGGGGACTATTTTTATGCCTATGATGTGGACATCCAAAGCAATGAGGGAATGGTAGCCACCTTCAAGGACAGGGGCCAGGAGCCGTTGCCGGATGAATACTATGGGAGCCTCCATGTCTTTACTACCTTCTGGGAGTGGACCCCCTGTGACCGCTGTGGGGTGCGTGGGGAACAGTGGCGCCTTGGACTCTGCTACCTGCAGAACCCTGACCTCTCCCCTCGGTACCTTAAGACAATGCCCGATGTAGTGTCCTGTGGCTCTCGGGCTGTGCCCAGGAAACTGCACATCAAGACCAGGGACCACACACCTGAGCTACTGATTCAGAGCTGCCTAGTGTCCTGTGAGAAGAGGCATCAGATCCGGAAGGGTATGCTGACAATCTACAACTATGTGTCCAAAGTGGGCAGTCGACCCTGGCTGCCTCAGGTACCCATTCAATTCCATCAGCAAAGACTAGGCCACGGCCTCATCATCTCCTGTCCCGGGGCCCGGCCAGAGCATGCTGTGGCCTGGGACAAAGACCATCAGCCCCTCTACCGCACACAGTACCTAAAAGGCGTCAACAGATCCATGAGAGTGTTCATCGACCATGGCAACCATCTCCACATCCGCTTCACCCGGTTGAGTGACCGAGGCATCTATTACTGCTGGCGGCAAGGGCTGAGAATCGCTGGCTTCCGGTTGGGAGTAACATCTCGAGGACGCTACCCAGCCTCACTCTCAGACCCTGAGACTCGCACCGCTGTGGAACTCACCCTGCTGGGCTACCTGCTCATCACAGCGGTCTTCGTCACCATTCACCTCTGTCGTTGCTGTTGCTACGCATTTCGCTGTTGTCCCAACTTCTCCACCCATACCCTTCTCCAGCTGTGAAAGCCAGTTGTGTTCTAATATGTTTGTTGAGTGATACCAGATGCTTCTGATGGGCACCTTGGGCTGGGACACGTGACACGGTGATGTTCAAGCCTATTGTTTACAACACGCTCCCCAGTTTCACGGGAGGGGCCTGGGTCTAATCTGGAAAGTGGAGAAGCCTGAGGGGAGGTCAGAGGTCAGAGACTGGTCAAGAGGGTACACAAACAGGCACACGTGTCTTCTCACTTCACACTCAGATTGCTGGAGGAAGTGAACAGATACCCGTCAGGTCACCTATCAGTGTTGTTGACTTGGAGGTGCTTTGCCCTTGAGCTCTGCTGCTGGGCCCTGGTTGACCTGGATTGGGTGGGATGGAGAAGAAAGAAAAGTAGAGGGAGCTGCTGTGTCTTTCTTGGCCCCCAGTTGTTCTGGGAATAGCAGAGCAGCAGGTGTGAAGACGAAGGTAAAGATGGGGACCAGGAATGGGTGAAGAGAGTGACATCCAACACAGGACTTTCTTGAGTGGTGGCACCCAGGCTAGGGATTGGGGATGAGAAGAGGGTCTGGAGCAAAGGCCACGGCACCAGGGCTCTGTAGGAGGTGGGATTTGACAGGCAGCTGCCGCAATGGAGGTTCAGAATCTCAAGACTATCTGTGGCCATGAGCAAGTTGAGTCCTGTCTCGGTCTTTACCCCACCTTCTGAACAAATCAGACCCACTCTGTGGAAGGCTATGGCACATCTTTATTTCTTCTTAGTGAGTAAAGGCAACAGCACTGTTCTGAAGGTTAGCAGAGTGGTAAGGAGTGGGGGGAGGGTACAATGTCCTGGGAAGAGGGAGGGGCCCCACTTTCCTTTTTTGACCTTAGAGGGGAGGAAAGGATAATGGAGTGGACACTTTCAGCCCCATTTCTGGGCACAGTGCCCCATCACCTGCCCACCAACCAGCTTGAGAGAGGGTGCTCTGGTGTGGAAGGGCAGTCCCACGTTGCCTCCAGGCGGCTTGAACACGAACCAGTCTACTAGGTTCATGCCTCAGTTTCCCAAATTGTCAAACAGGATGATGCCGAAAATGCAGGTATTATTATGTATATGCATCAGAAAGGACATGGGCCCTCGGCTTGGAGAAGAAGAGCTAGTAATTACGGAATGGAGAACCTCAAGAGGATGGTTGTGGTTTCATCAGGGTTGAGAAGCAGCAGTCACAGGGTGCAGAGAGGTGAGTGGATGGGGACTATGCAGCCAGGAATAGACCTTCACAACCAAGACAACGGACAGAAGTCCCTCTCTCCTGTTTCACGGTCTTCAGGAGAATGGGGCATTTCCTTGATTCCCAGGATTCAGAGCCAAGTGTAACTGGTTGCCTACAACTTCCAACTCCAATGTCTAAATCATCTCCACCGGTGCTGCCACCACTGGCGCTCCTGCAGCCTGAGTAGGGGAGCCTTCCTGGGCTTGACCTCTCAGCATCCACACTTAGGGGCCAGGTACCCCACCTCTACTCCCTCCCAATACTACTTCCCTCTCCACTTATGCTATAGATCCCCCCAAGTGCTGAGAACCAAGTCTCCACACGCTCACAGGCTGCTAAGCTGTGTGGCAACTCAGAGGGTCTGAGACACGAGTTATCACTCTGGAGGGCCCTTAGGACCACCCGCCTTAGTGGCCATTCCAGGTAGCGAGTCTGCCCTACCCACTCCTAGATCAGTCAGGGCTATTCTGGAAGCATAAGTCTCTGGCTAGAGCTACTTTGCCGTGGGACCTCCCCTTTCTCTCTGACTTTCTGTCTTCCTCCAGCAGCCTATGGAAACTCAAAGTCCAGTTCCCAGAGACCTCAGCTCTGGCAACAGTTTCCATACCAACAAGGATGAAGGAAATGATCTGTTAAGGCTCCCTGCTCTGCCCAACTTTCCTCCTTCCTTGCAATTCTACCTCAGCTGCTGGCCCCTCCCCTCCCGACTGCCCCTTTGGAGTGAGTATCCTGTTAGTTGGAGGTGCAGAGTATGTGCCATCTGTCAGGCTCAGTAAGGACTGAGCCTCAGGCAGCAGACAGGCATAAAAACTGAAGGAAGGGGAGTGCTGGTGTGGATGGGAACAGGGCTATCTGAGGAGGAGCTTTGGGCCCTTGACACTGTGTGGCAGGGGCCGCCAGGTGGGCACACCTCACATCACATCCTTGTGTTCCTGCTTGGACTCCTTAATGACCTGCAGGGGACAGGGAAGGTGTACAGTGCACAGTTAGGGACCGACACAACTCCCAGACCCACCGTGCTAGGCCGTGCATCCTGAGGCAAGTCCCCAACTTTCCTGGATCTGTCTTCCCTTGACTGTCGTTGAATTACATCACACTGAGCTCAAACTGGAGGGTGAAATGCCACCAGTAAAGCATTCAACAGCGTGCCTGACACTACGGCGTGGGAGTAGCCATAGCTGCTGCTGCCACCACCCCATGTAGAGAAGGCTGTGCTGTATTTATCTCCTATTCCCATTCTTCTCCAGAAAGCTGCTCTGAGTAAATTTGAAGGCCCTTTCTTTCCCTAACTGTCCCAGTCAGAGCTGGACCATCAGATGGCCTTGATACACAGGTTGCCCTGAACACACTCCCTGTGGAAGGGCTGGAGAAGGAGAATCACATTCAAGGTCAGTCCCTTCTTCCAGAGCTCCATTGGGAGCCCCCGGGAGTTATTACTAAGGACCTTCCGTGAGCTAGTCCCAGGCTTTCTCCAGTCTAGCTTCAAGAACCCCTGAGGGCAGCCAGACCCTCTCCTCACCTCGCCATCCCGCGTCTCCACTGTCCTTACCACGATGTTCCTCTTGAGGTGTCCTTCTGATATGGACTTGGTGTCCAAGCTGGTTTCTGCAGGTGCGAGGAGAGGAGGCCTCCGTGGGCTCTTGGGATACTAAACATCCTGTCCTGTACCCGACTTGCCCATCATGCACCCAGGGTTATGAATACAGGGCTATCTAAGTAGACAGAGAGAACCTCGCCTTGTCCAAAGTGGCTCGGGACTCCCAACTGGCCCCCCCGGGGGGGGCACATCCTGCCGCTGTCCCATAGCCCGCTTGACCTTCTGTTCAGGCACCTGGTTTCCTGGCAACCAAGGGCTGCACCGAGAAAGGAGCCTCAGTTTCCTCTTTTATAAAAAGTGCTCACAGTACCTACTTCCCCAGGAGATAGTGAGGGGGCAAGTAACTAATATACGTTAACATGTGGCACACGTTAGTGATTAATACGTGTGGGCCTTCCCCATCCCTGCCTTTCTCTGTCACTCTTCTGGACTCTAGTGACCCTTGACTGTCTAGCATTTGGCACCTCTACCTGGTCAGCATAATCAACTTTCTAAGGCTGAATTACATTCTGAAATATGTATGGCCACTATTCCTAAATGGAATTTTCCCCTGTATCTAAGGATCATTTCAGGACCACATGGCAGTAAAAAGTAATTTGGTCCACCCCCCTTAGAGAGAAAAATATAACATGTCACACTCACTAATATTTAAAATGAAGAGCAGGGAACGAAAAACTTTATTCACTACAAGAGCAGCAGTCCAGAGGGAACTAATCCTCTGGGCTGAATCAGCACTGAGAGAAGCAACAGAGCCTTCGGGACTCATGAATCAAACAGAGAGCCTGCCCAGAGAGCACTGCAAGACCCAAGGGGGCCGCCTAGTGACAGGAAAGAGGCAAGGCAGAGGCTGTCGTTTGCTCAGAGGCTTCAGAACTTCTCATTCAGCTCCCAGGGACAAGCCCCCTTTAACATAGGCTCGCTCTGTTGGCATAACCTAATTACACCGCGCTAGAACCTGGGATGGGGCCGGAAGCTTCTGGGGGAAGGAGGGAGGCCGAGAGGACGGGGACACAGGCTTGGTGAGGCTCGCTGCCTGTCAAGCTGGGGAAAACACATAACTGAAACGCAAAGATCTATCTAATCGAGCGCTGGCGGGGCTCCATCTACAGTCTGGTGAGCCTGTATGGGTATAACTTGTATCGTGAGCCTTTTGAGATGTCTGGTGACTTTGTGGCCTTCCCCTTCTTTGGTGCCTTTGCCCCCTGTAGTGACAAGCAGTTCAAAACAAAACAAAACGTAAAACATTCGGAAGGGCAGAACCTGTTCGTGGCTAGCAGACCTGGCATCAGTGGCGACCTCACCGGTGTGCAGGGGTGTGACTAGGGGATGACGACACGGCAGTGAGACAGGGACAGCGACAGGCCCTCGGGGGCTGTGCTCTGTCTAGGATCTCAGCGGAGGGTCATAAAGGCTCCCAAGGAGAGCCTGGATCCCTTCGCCCCCCGTCCCCAAGAGCAGGCCACAGGCCTGGGGGGAGGGGTGGGAACTCACTACCCTTTCCCACAAGACCCCACTATACTGACCTCGGATCTGCAGGTTGGAGAAAGTTTGTACAGGGATGGTGATGCTGAAAGACAGAGGAGGGGTAGGGATGATGAGGCCACCCGAGGACACCCCCAGGTCCTGGTCCAGGGACAGCATGAAAATCTCAGGGTCCTTTGCCAGGCCAGCCTGACTGCATTGCCAACATCCCCTAATCCCCTAACTCCCTCTCCCCCCTCTCCTCTTCGTCTCTCTCTCTTCCTCCCTCCCCCTCCCTCTCCCCTCCCTCTCCCCCCTCCCGCTCCTCTTTCCTTCTCTCCTCCCAGCTCTTCCAGACAAGGTCTCTCTATGCACCCTTGGCTGGCCTAAAATTCAATATATAGACCAGGCTGGCCTCAAACTCAGAGATCTGCCTGCCTCTTCCTCTCAAGTGCCGGGATTAAAGCCATGAGCTATCATGCCTGTGTATATGAGGGCAGAAGTGGGTGTTGGATCCCCCGGAACTGGAGCGTTACTACAGGACATTGCAAGCCATCATATGGCTATTGGGAACCTAACCTCTAACTACAGAGCAACCTCTCCAGCCTCCACCACTTAACTTTCAACCCAGAAGCCAATACTCTCCCGGAGCTGGAAAAGTCTGCAGGGAGCTTGTATGTTATCTGCCCCCACAGAATACCTCCAGAAAGGAGAATGGAGGCTTGGGAGATGAGAAGAATAAAAAAAAAAAATGGTCACAATAAGTCCAAGGAAGCAGAACAAATCAATGAGGCCATGGGAAGTCCCATCTTTGTTGGCCAGCCTTGCGGGTCAGGGTCAGCCGCTTTGTTTGGGGGATAACTCAAGTGCTCGGCCCTGGGACTGGTTGGATCCATCTGTTCTTCAGAATCGATTTCTTGAATGTCTACTGTGCTTAGGCTGGACTCTGGGAGTGGAAGGGGATACAAGGCTAGCGGGAGGACTGCAGAGAACAAGAGTTACTGAGGAGAGGCAGCAGCAGTTCCCCAGCGCTGAGGCGAGCTCACCGGTTTTCCTCGCCCTCCAGCAATTTCCTATAGGTGGCAATCTCGACGTCCAGGGCTAGCTTGACGTTGAGTAGATCCTGGTACTCCTGCAGGTGGCGGGCCATCTCCTCCTTGAGGCTTTGGCCCTCCTCCTCCAGCCGGGCGAGCGCCTCCTGGTAACTCGCCGACTCCCGCGCGTGGCGCTCATCTTGTTCACGCATTTGCCTCTCCAGGGACTCGTTCTGCCGAATGGAGCCACTGATCTACTGATCGCTTACCCAAGAGGCTTCGAGGGCCCGGCCCCGGCCCCCTACCCCGCCTCCAACTTTTCAGAATCCTTCCTCCCTTCGTCCATCCCTCATCCCCAGCCCCCCGCCCCCCACCCCAGTCCCCTTCCAGCAACATCTTGGGTGGCGGCTGCCCCCGATCCGACCAGTGGTCCCTGCTCGCGCTCACCGTGCCGCGCAAGGACTCCAGGTCGCAGGTCAAGGCCTGCAGTTGGCGGCGATAGTCATTAGCCTCGTGCTTAGCCTGGCGGAGCAGCTCTGCGTTGCGGGAAGCAGCGTCTGTGAGGTCCGCAAACTAAACCGAGAGAGAACCTGAAGTTGAAGGGAGGACTCGAGTCTCCCTATGGCACAGTGCACAGACCAGGGAGCTGCCTGGGATGGGAGATAGACACGGTCTCTGGAAAATCAGGAAAGTGGAGTCGACCTCAGGTCTCCCCCCAGGAGCCGCAACTGTAACCGAAGGATTTATCATGCCTTCATCCTGCTCAGGCTGTCACTGGCTTCGGCAACTCACACCGGACTTGGTGCCCTGGGCCAACCGCATCTCCAGTTTGTGCTTTTTCTGTCTCGGGCCTCCTCACGACGCCTGTTCTCTACCTGAGATGCCCTTCCCTCTTCTTTTGAGTCTCTAGGCTGCCTGTCTAGCACAAGCCCCACCCTATCATCTTCCCTGTTCCCACAGTCTATATAAACTCTGACATCACCTTGACCAAATGTTTCCCTGTATCTCGGGAGTGCCCGGCACACAGCAGATGTTCAGGAGCACGGGGCACAGACTGGCAGAGGCGTCAAAAAGGCAGGCTCTCAAATGAGATGGGTTAGGATTGGAAGCTTTACCCCTCTGTCACTTAGGAGCTATGTGACATTGGGCGAGCTAGTTAACCTTTTAACTTTGCTAGTTAAAAGTATTAGCAACGATAACAATGAGTAGTTTGGGAAGTAGTGGTGCCTGTGTGGTCCTGGGCAAGTCATCTCACTTCTCTGAGCAAGGCTGGTCACCTCGATAGGTTATTTTCCAAGCTTCCTTCCCTTATTCTCCAGTATGAATCAGGAAGGGCTGTCTGGAAGAGGCAGGCTGGCCCACAGGTACCTTGGACCGATACCACTCCTCTGCCTCTTGCATGTTACTGGTGGCCACTGCCTCATATTGAGTTCGAATCTCTCTGAGGGCCGCTGTGAGGTCTGGCTTGGCCACATCCATCTCCACATGGACCTGCTGCTGGGCCAGCTGCTCCCGGAGTTCTCGAACTTCCTAATAGGGTAAAAGAAGGGGGATTGAGGCTCAAATCTCAGGCCCAGGCTACAGCTGGGGCTCTCACAGCACCACACTCCTGCCTGCCCAGATATGGCATTGGCTCAGGGAAATGGGGCAGCCTTTACTGGAAGAAGTGCATGACCTAAGCTAATGGCATGTGCCAGGCTCGCTGGCACACACCTTTAACCCCAGGATGTGGGAGGCTGAAGCAGGCAGGTCTCTATGATTTTGAGGCCAGACTAGTCTACATAGCATGTTCCAGGTCAGTCAAGTCTACACAGTGAGAGCCTGGTCAAAAAGTAAAAACCCTAAAGGGTATGGAATGAGAGTCTGAGAGCATCTTTCTCCCAGGGCTGCATAGTCAGGAACCAGGCATGAATATGCCTTACATCCAGGCTCTGAGGTCAGAGAACAGAGGTGTGTGTGTGTGTGTGTGTGTGTGTTTGAGACAGTCTCACGTAGGTCAGGCTAGTCTCAAGTTTTCTGTGTAGTTGAAATTGGTCTTAAACACACCGAGCCTCCTATCACTGCCTCCCAAGTGCTGAGAGTATACCACCGTGGCATGTCTTCAGAGGGGTTTTCGTGACTGTTTCACATCTTACTGGAGACAGGTGGGGGAGAGGGTGAAACCAGAGAGGCTGTGTGACTTGTGTGTGTGTGTGTGTGTTTAAACTTCTCTGGGTTTCAACGTCCTCCCCGTTGTGAAAGGAGACTGTGAGTGAGGCTCACAAAGCTGATGTGGAGGAGAAATCAAAGACCTGCCTTGTGCTTCTCAGAACACGGCGGAGGGGAGGATCTGTGGTCATTTTCCAGGGGTAGTAGATACTGGAGAACACCTCCCTTGTCTCTCTGTCTTCCTTCTTCCATTTTCCTTCATCCTGACAGTTGGTTTCTCTGTTTCCCTCTCTGAGTATCTCTCTGTCTGTCTGTCTTTCTCTCTCACTTGCAGTTTCCTGAGCCTCCCTCCTTCTGCCTGGCCTCACCTCCTCATGGATCTTCCTCAAGAACTGGATCTCCTCCTCCAGTGATTCAATCTTCCTCTCCAGATCCAGACGGGCCATGGTAGCATCATCTGCCTCCTGGAGTAGGGAGAGGACCTTTCGGACCCCAGAGTCCCTCCCCACAACAATCTCCAGTTCTGTCTTCCCCTCCTTGTGGGGATCTGGGAAGCAGGCAATTGCTGTGGAGGGCTAAGTTCAGGGGCTGTGTCTGGGTGGACTGCCACCAACCTCCCTGCCCCCTCCCATCCCTCCCATCTCTCTGACCTGTCTATAGGCAGCCAGGTTGTTCTCGGCCTCCAGCCTCAGGTTGGTTTCATCTTGGAGCCTGGGATAGGGGACACAGTATGGACTTTAGGTTTTCCTGAGGACTCTTGGATCCCTGTCCCAACCTCTTTGGAGGTGACTGTCATAAAACACTCCCAAGGACCATAGAGTGGCAGGAGAAGAGAGTGGCAGAGGATTCCTAGACAGAGGCCCTGGCTGAGAGAATAAGCAGCAGATAAGGGCTTCTGCTTTGACTCATTACTGAGGTGCCTTATCGGGGTTGGTGCACCTGCTAATGCTCGCAGAGGCGCATCCACGGCCATGCACTCACTGTACAGACACCAGTGCACCTCCTGCACCAGAGGGGCACACGGATGTCTGCCTCTCAGCAAAGTACCATGCCCCAGAGTTCGACCCCGGTCACTATCTTTTAGGATAGATTGTATCATAACCGCATCAAAAGGACTTGAGTATAGTCAAAAAGCTGGTGGCAAGCCGGGGGGTGGTGGCGCACGCCTTTAATCCCAGCACTCGGGAGGCAGAGTCAGGCGGATCTCTGTGAGTTCGAGGCCAGCCTGGGCTACAGAACAAGATCCAGGATAGGCTCCAAAGCTACACGGAGAAACCCTGTCTCGAAAAAACAAAAAACAAACAAACAAAAAAGTCGGTGGCAGACAGTCGTCTGGGTTCTGCGCCCAGGCCTGCCTGCTCTTTCTTGCATTTCCTATATTTCAGAGATCAGAGCTTCCTTGTGGACACAGACCTCCTCTCTGACCCTTCACAGTGCCAAATGAATGGAAAAGCAGAGCATATACTGGCTGGTGCCCACGCTACCCTCACAGCCCTTCCCCAGTGTGGAGGTGCCCAGAGTGACCAACTCCCTGGCAGCTGACCTTTGGGAATCAGATCCCTGAAGTTTTGGTCTCTCCCATCATATGAGGGAGCAAAGTTAGCCCTCCCTTTCCCAGGCATGGGGAAACGCAGCAGCTGAGAGGCCGAGCCCTCAGTCAGTACCCTTCCTTATAGGCACCCCTCTCGGTTCAGTCTCACTGCTCACTAGCCATTTTCCCTGTCCCCTTCCTCACTTCTGCCTCAGGGTGCCGAGGTCCTGTGCCAGATTGTCTCTCTCCACCTCCAACCGGGCACTGTTGGCCGTAAGCTGGTCCAGCCGCAGCCGCAGCTCCCGCAGCTCTGCCTGGTAGACGTCAGCCAGTTTGGTGGGCTCCTTGGCACGAAGCTGGTTCAGCTCAGCTGCCAGCGCTTTGTTTTGCTGTTCCAGGAAGCGGACCTTCTCGATGTAGCTAGCAAAGCGGTCATTGAGCTCCATCATCTCCGCGCGCTCACTGGCCCGAGTCTCCTTGAAGCCAGCATTGAGAGCCCCCGCCAGGGAGAAGTCCACCCTGACAGGGAGTGGAGGAGACATTCGAGACAGAGAGAAGCGTGGGATGGTACTCAGGTGGCGGCTGGGACCCAGGCCCCTGACCACCGTCTCAGAGGTGGCATAGGAGCGACGAGCAGAGGTGATACGTCTTCGCTCCATCCTGCCCAGCCTCTGCTGGCTCTTGGGATGTCAAGGGCTTTATGGAGTAATGGGCTGGACTGGCTCTGCCCTGACTTCCTGGCAGCACCCCCTTGAATAGCCTGAGGGGGTGGAGCTGGGCCCTAGCCCAGCTATGGGGAGAGCGCCTCTCACCCCACTGAGGTCTTTGTATCAGAGTCAAGGCTTCCCTCGGTACACCAGCTTGGCCTCACCAGTGATCAAGAAAACCCCCTTTCTGGTAAGATGGGTCAAGAGAGGGACTGAGAAAACAGCTTAGTCCATAAATTGCTTGTCTGTCAAGCATGACGATCCAAGTTCTAACCACAAAATGAATACAAAAGGCCAGGTTTGACAATGCATACTTGTAACTCCAGTGCTGGGGAATGAAAATTGGGAGGATCCTTGGGTCTCACTGACTAATTAGTGAGTTCCAGGTCCCAGGGAGAAACGCTGTCTCAAAAACCCAAGGCAGCAGGGCCTGAGGAACAGCACCTGAGGTTGACATCTGGTCTCAGCACATATGTGCACACACAGGAACATCTATGCAGTAAACGAACACTTGTGCATGTGTGCACATGCATACACACACACACACACACACACACACACACACACACACACACACACACAGAGAGAGAGAGAGAGAATGCACGAGCTGGGTTGGGTGAGCTGCCTCTAGCTCCTAGAGCCTAGAAGCCAGGGCTGTCCTCACTCTGCATGCCCTCGCTTCTCTATGGGCCTGGGAAATGCTAGGAACGTGAAGAATCTACGCCCTGACTCCAGGATCAGCCTATACTAGTTTCCTGATGACTCCCACTCCCAACAGATGTCCAGAGTCCTTCCCCTGGAGTCCACCATCACTGTCTTCTCATTCCCGGAGTTCAGGAGGGAAGGGCCGGGGTTGGGGCCCTCCCTATGACCCTATGACCTGGGCCTCTGGCTGTGTCTAGGGGGCATGACAGAAGGAATGATGAGGATCCTAATAGGGTAAGACAGCAGGCCTCCTTCCTGATCCCCCCCTCTTTGGCATCTTGTCTGGTCTGCTGGGTCATTTCTTCCTGGTCCAGCCTCCCTTTACTCCTGGCCCCTGAGGGCTCCACAGAGTAGTAATGAATGGGTTGGCAGTACATGCCGGAATCTTTATTTCTGTAACACCCGGTCTCCCTGGCCACCCCACATTCTCCCAGGAGATTTATCTTCTTCAGGTTCCCACACATCAGGCCTCTGGGGGATATGTAGGTCTGGGAAACCAGAATTCACCATCATCAATGGTGGGGAGGAGGCTGTTGCCACGAGACTTCAGGCCTATCCATCCCCTCCACTCCGGTCCCTCCCAGGCGCCTTAGCCATCTGTGCCCTTGGGCTTCTGGAAAACAGACAGCTCAGCTCCCTCCACCCCTGCCTTCCTCTGTCCATGCTTGAGCTTCTGATCTCTACTCCAGGGCACTTGCTGAATAGAGCCTTGTTCTCTGCCGCCAGTGAGGGAGCCATACGGCAAGGGCAGCCCCAAGGGGACTGGGCTGCTTTTATCCCAAGATGCCAGGATGTCAGCCCCGGGTGCTGTACAAGCTCCCAGCTCAATGGACTTCTCGGAAAGCGTCGAAGGGGGCCTGGAGTACAGCGGGAAGCAGGCTGTGTGCCCACCCCTGATCATTGTGTCTATGCCAAGGTGAGTCATTCAGTGGGCACACAGAGGTCCTGGGGGGTGGCCAGCTCAGCACTGCCATGTCTCCAGCTTACAGACAACTCCTGGCTGCTTGCCCCCTCCCCCACTCAAGCCGGTTCAGACCCCTGAGCGCCTGTCACAGCAACGCCCCTTACTCCATACCAGGGACATGGTATTCATTCGAGCATGCGATGGGCTGCTTGCTAAGGTCCCCCTGGCGAGTCTCAGCACGGGGAGGAAGGAGACCCTTAGGATCTAGCCGTACCGTCCCCCATCCTGAACAATGGCATAGTAAAGTAGATCCTGAGAGAAGTCCGCAGTGACTTCAGGCAGGATCTCTCATCATGTCTCCTGGAACTCACTATATAGATCAGGCTGGTCTGGAACTCACAGCGGTCCCATTGTCCCTATGGGATTAAAGGCTTGCGGGACTCCTTCCTGCCCTGGTGACTTTTGATGCTCAAAAGTTGGGAAGCTAAAAAACAGGGGACTTTAAGAAGAGCCTTACTAGAGACCAGCCTGGAACTCGGGACACAGCTCACAGGGTAGGAGTGGCCTACCTTCTTAGTATAAACAAAGTGGTTCCGGAGGAAAAAGATTTGACAAGGGGTTCATGAGCAAAACTGGAGAATTCCTCCTGTCCATGTGAGTTTGCCTCCATGCCAACCAAGGAGTCCCCCAGTCTCTGCCCCTCAGGCCCCTCCCTGGGCCCCTGATGCAGGCCCAAGTTCCATTTCAACCCCACGGGGCTTTCGGATCCTTGCCACTCTCTCAAGGGGTATTTGTGAGTAGAGACAAAGAGACAAAAGAAAGATATTCTTGGTTGCACTTGATGTATAAACTTTCATTATTAGTGTTTTTATTATACACTCACTGTAGAGAAATCAGAAAAGACACATAAGCAATATAAATATTTAATTAGTCATAATTTTGCCACATGCAGATAAACACTGCCAGATTTTTCCTCACATATGAATACATTTTTTTCAAAACAGGCCCAGACTGCACCAATTATTTTGTAATTTGCTTTTCCTTCAACAATATGTTGTGAACATCTTTCTGAATCAATAAACATTTACCTACATCATCATTTTAACAGCTGCATCATTTTCCACTTTATGCATTCATTTAACTAGCCAAGTTCTTAGCCCACTTCCCACCAAATTCATACATATCTGCCCCAGACAAGCACTTGGTAGGAAAATAGGCAGGCCCCCTGCCCTCCCAGTTGCTACAGGGATTCCCATCCTCCTAGCCTGGGGCATGCCTCATCCTGTGGATTACTCCTTTTCAACTTTCCCAAGCAGAAGTCTCCAACAACAAAAGCCTCAGGCCAAACTCCAGCCGACTTTCAGACTCCACCGCAGGGTACTGCCAACCATGGAGACAGATGCTTGGATACCTCACCACAGAGTCCACAGCCAAACTGAACCCTGCTTCAAGCCAAAGTGGGGATAAGATGGCGTCCTTGTGTCCCTCTCCCTGTATTAAAACCTGACAGATGATCTTTTGCTTACAGGGCAAAACCTCAATGCCTCCCAGGACAATCCCACTTCTGGTCTCAACTCATACACATAGTGCCTGGTGTTTCCTACTGATGCCAGACTCTAATTCAAGTGGTCATGCGATTCGAGTGTCACCTGCCGGCTTTGCTTGCACACCTGCCCCTGCCCAGTAGAGATCAAGACTGGTTGGCTGACCCCATCCCATGGTGCTGCCCGGAGGAAGGGAAGTGAGGACCCCAGGACCACTAGATGGCAGTGCTCAGCTGCCCAGACAGGTCTGGCCACCAAACCAGTGGAGGGAAATAGGGTTTCCTAGAGATTGGTGGTTTTTCTGCAGTCCACCTTTGTATCCATCAGCTGGCCATTCTGTTTTGTTTGTTTTTTTTTCTTCTAGACTCACCTCTGCTGTGACGGTGCCCTCTTGAGAAGAAAGCAATACTTTGGCTCCTCTGTGGCTGTGAAGTCTTGGGTGACCCAGGAACCGTCACCGAATCCAGATCTGTGAAATGAGGACTTACCTTCCAAGAACATTGTCAGTGAGAGACATCCACAGCAGGCATTGTTGTCAAACCATAGCGTTCATCTCATAATGCCTGCCGTGTGCGCCACTTACCGCATGCCCGTGCTTCTGTGATGGCTCAGCCAGGACGGGCAGGAACTTGAGTAAGGGCTGCCAAGTCCATCCAACAGCACCTACTGGGAGTATGTGAGAACCTTCTAAGGGAGGTCACGTGGCAGTGTGGCTAGGACCAAGGAACTGCAGTGAGTAAAGAGGGTGGGAGTCAGTGTCATTTTCTCCTACCTCTAGCTGTTGGTGGCTTCAGGTCCTACAAGGGGACATAATTAGTTTTTCCTTGTTTCTTTGTTTTTGTTTTTGCTGTTTTGTGATAACAGTTTCATTATATCTCAGGTTGGCCTCAAACTTGCTATGTATGTAGCTAAGGATGACCTTGAACTTGATTCTCCTGCCTCCACCTCCCGAGTGCTGGGATTATATGTGTGCACCAACGCGCCTGGTTTATTTGATGTTCAAACCCAGGGCATCATGCATGTTAGGCAAGCACTTTATCTACACCACAGTCCAGCCCAACATGTAACTTTTTTGAAACTGTGTGGCAACTGAAGTAGATGTTACCCTCTAACCCACATTCTTGCCTCCCTTATCCCCTTCCTGGGCTCTGTTCTCACTTCCCTTCCTCCATCCCTAGACTTAAGGCTCATGACTCCTACAGGTTCCAGAAACTTCGGGTGTGTTGACCTTTGGTGCCTGGGTCTCCTGTGCACCTCTGCCTGAGACCTCCTGGGGAGCCATGTCTTCCCCTGCAGGCAGAGATTTCCCGATGCTAGAATCTGTCTTCCCCCTCAGACCAGGGTCTACACCTCCCCTATTAAGGCACCACAGGACAGGGCTAGCTAAACCAGTTGAAGCTTCTGCAGGTGGGGGCTTCAGTTGGAGAGGACCTGCCTTAGACCAGGGGCCATTCATTCTCCCACCTTTAGCCTACGCCCAGCCAGGTTCTGCTGGTCAGAAATCAGCCCCTGTGGCTGCAGAATGACCCCAGACTGGACCCCAGAGTCCCGTCGTCTTCTTCCTCCTCCTTGGGCCCCGCCTCTTCCTATTGGACTCAGCAGCTCATTCTCTTTCACGGGTCCTGGGGCCAGGCTGCTGTGGCAGGGGTAATAAGCTTGGGCCTTTCTCCCTCGCCTCTCCTGGCCCCAGCCAGACCCACTTCAGCTTGTCCTTTACCTCCCAGTCTCCAGCCCTGAGATCTGCTTTTTAATTGCTTTCCCAGCCTGCTTTGCGCCTTCTCCCTGCACTCCCCCTCCCGTTCCTGCATGATTGGACCCCTCAGGGGTGTGAGGCCGGACCAGACGTGGCCCTGGTGGGAGAAGAGGGCTGACAATCACCCACTATTTCCAGCTTAGGAGCTCTCCAAGTGGATAGGATGGGCCAATGGACGGGGCTGTGTTGAGTAGAGGAGAGCCATGAGGCTTAGTTGAAACATAGTTCCCAGACTTCTGGGTGTGAATCTGTTCCCTTCCTCCTCCAGCAACATTCATCCCCAACTGTCCTGGTCGCCTCTTCACAGAACTATGGAAAGCCAGGCATGGTGGCACTCTGTGAGTTCCAGAGTAGCCTGGTCTACATAGCGAGTTCCAGGACAGACAACACTACATAGAGAGACCCTGTCTCAAACAAACAAACACAAAAGAACTATGGAAGAGAAGACAGCCATGACTTACATGCTACTTGGAACCAGGATCCCTCAAGCACAGTTGAGAGCCACGGGGTCTTTCCAGGGAGAATCTGGAGACAGGTGAGTGGAGCTCTCGGATAGATCTCATGAATTAGCTGCCAAGGAGATTCCTCAGGTTGGGATGATGCCCCCCTCCCCAGAGGGGTTAAGCTGAAGACTGCATATAGGGGAACACAGAAAGACTAGCCCCTCCCCTTGACAGTTTCAGCACTGATGGTAGATTTTGCTGTGTATTCAGTTACAGGGCTAGGTGGGTACCACCCCTTCTCCCATCACAAAGGTTTCCAGCTCTTTTCCACAAACCCGGTTTTGCAAACTGGGTAGGTACCCCAACATCAGGTTCAGACCTAAGCTTCAGTGTGAGCAAGGGGGTGCCTATGAGGGGTGTGGGGTGACAGGATTTCTAAATTCACAGAAGCAGGGCTGGGATGATGCAGGAAGAGGGGGTGTTAGGCCAGGCTGGGTCTGTGGCGGATGGAGAGGCATTGATTACCATGCCTCGTGGATAACTCTATGAGAGAACAATCCAATTTCAGTCTCATCGCCCATGCAAGTCAGATGGAAGCTGCGTCTCAGCTGGCTGCCCCCCTGCTGCCCCCGCCAGCCCGACTGCCTATGGCATGCAGGACACCACACAGCAAGCTCTGGGCCGACCTCCTGTGATTGAGGGCAGGAGCCACACGTGCTTAGCTCTATCAGCCCAGAGTCTCTGTACATTTTATGGGTCACCCGAGAGCACACTTTGTACCACAGAGCCGCAAATGTTTGCAGAGTGAATGGCTGGCTGCTGAACATCCTTGTCAAGAGTGACCTCTTCCACGGTCAGGCTGCCCCCAGCCTGGCAAACTCTGCCTCATGCAAGGACCCCGTTGTGCAGAGCATGCCCTCCTGGCCCTCGTTACTGGCTGCCTTGCCATGTGCGGACTGCCTCTGCCCTTGAAGGGCGATAGTGATGATCAGAAGAGGTAATATATGTGAAGACCCCAGGAAATGGACAAGTTACTCCATCTGAATCCAGTCATCACTCAGCAAGGCCTCTTCAAGTGAAAGTACCGTGCCAACTACCAGGGGATACAGATGTGAATCTGTGACGGCTTCGAGGGAGCCACAGAACACAGGGGAACAAACTCATTAACACTAATTGGAGAGGCGGGAACCCCATGCCTGAGAAGAGAAATGATGTCTGTTCACTTCAAAAAGGAAGCAGTCCTGAGTTATGTAAAAACCAGGATGTAGGCTGGGTCCCAAATACTTGCTGTCCAACTGTGGACAAGTTGGGCAGAGGTGTTTGATTCTGTTTCTCTCCTCTGTCTCATAGGGCCAGTGTAAGCTAAGGCACAGCCTGGCAGCACAGGGAAGCTCATCCACCTGCTTTTCCTCACTCTCCTGATAAGGGACAGAAATGAGCAGGAGGGGTCCAGGCATTCTTTGAACCTGGCAGCATTATTTACACACTATTCACAATGTGCTAAATACCCTTAAAAATGTTTGTTTTCAGGAGCAAGTTCAACACAAGCTCCTGTAATTTTGTTTACACTATTAATTCACTCAGCCAACCATGTCTTCATGGGGAGAACAGAGATAACCATGTTGAACTGCTATACAATCCAGCGAGTGGAAAGGAAGGCCCCCAAGAGCTGGTGGAGGGATGGGGAGAGGAGCAGGCTGCACTGGACTCTAGCTGGAACTCACTTGGAGCCTCAGCTCAGACCTGGGTCCAACCAAAAAGGCCTTCCTGACAGCAGAGTGACCCACCCTAAGGTGTGATAGACATCCAAGTGAGATTCCTTTGAAACCCACTGGGAGCAAGGATCCTGCAAGGAAGAAAATATCATGTGTGTGCATGTGTGAGGGTGGGTAACATGTATATCATACAGCATGTGTGTGGTCAGAGGACAGCTATGGAGTGGGTTCTGGGATTGGACTGAGGCTGTCGTGCAGACCTGCAAAACAAGTGCTTTTACCTGCTGAGACATCACCCAGGCCCACGGAGAGGATCCGCACTGTACTGAGGAGCCAGGTTCAGGCTCCAGAACAGAAGGCTGCAGATGGCCAGGAAGGTATTGTTTCCTGGACTCCTAAGTTCCTTGAACCCAGGACTGCAAGCATGCCAGGCAAGTAAGCACCTACCACTGAGCCACAGTCCTAGAAGTTTCCTGTTGATTTTTTTCACATTATGTAGGAACAGTTGCCCTCTAACTCACGATCCTCCTGCTTCAGCTTCCCAAGTGCTGGGATTACAGGCGTGTGTCACCAAGCTCAGCTTGAGATCTTTTTTTTTTTTTTTTTTTTTTTTTTTTTTAGGTTTTTCGAGACAGGGTTTCTCTGTGCAGCTTTGCGCCTTTCCTGGATCTCGCTCTCTAGACCAGGCTGGCCTCAAACTCACAAAGATCTGCCTGCCTCTGCCTCCCAAGTGCCGGGATTAAAGGCGTGCGCCACCACCGCCCGGCTCAGCTTGAGATCTTAAAGGATCTTACGAAAGGAAAGTGGCACTAACCTCTGAGGGTATAGAAGGAAGAACACACTCCAGAGGTGCAGATGATTTAATAATCATTACAGGAGAAAAACCTATAGATCTATAGGCATACACCTGTGTGTATATACATATAAATATTTACATATAAATACACATATATGGAAAAGTCAAGGACACTTAAATACCAATGTAACTAGCTAGCATTTATATATAAGTGGTAACATTAATGCTACATTCCCCTCTCTTCTTATACACTGGGTGTATGGCTCGTGTTTAGTGAGTGAAAATAATATAAACCAAAGCACCTGTCATGAGCTATATCATCAAGGGGTGAGGCGTTCCCACCCCAGGCTGTGGGCACAGGGCTGAAGATGCCCATCTCAAACACCAGAAGAGCTGAGCAGGACTTGTCCTCATCCTCCACCTTCACTGTGGAGTCTGATGTCAGACATGAGGTTCGGGGGTAGAGAACAGAGCATAAGAGTTCCTTGCATGGAAGGCTTTGGGAATGAGAAAGCATGACAGGATCCTTTAATATAGCCACATGTTTAATACTCACAAACGAATATATATATATATGTCAAGAAGCTGAGTGTAACAGATTACTAAAGAGGCAAAGAGCAGGTGGATGGTTGGGGAGGGGTGTTAATACCGGCAAGGCATGTTGGTGTTAATTGTTCCAAGGGCAGGAGGGCAGATCAGGGCTCATGGTATTGGCAGCACCAGACCAGAGAACGCTGTCAGCCTAGAGGTGTTGGCGGATCAGGATGAGCTTGGAGGCCTCGTGGTCAGGATACCCAGTTAACAGCACTCTGTCACACCAATCAGTCCCTTATGAGTCCTCTGGTCACCAAGGCAGTGGGGACTCAAGGGTGGTTCTGTAGGCCAGTGAGACACAGAGAGGTACAGAAGGACAAAGTGAGGCTATGTCCCAGACCCCCTGCCTCTCATCCCATCCTCCTCCTCCCTCATCAGGGTTCCTGAAATGCTTGGAAGTATCTCAGGTCCTTCTTCCACCTGGGTCTCCATTCACCCTGTCCTACATTCCATTTTCGTCCGCCACCACTGCTCAGCTCTACTTGTCCCTAGTTCCAGTTACCTGGGACTGTGAAGGGTCCGTCTGGCTTCTTCAAAGTGCTGCTGGGGAGGCGGGCAATGCAGCTGCGGCCTCGGGAAACTGAAGACCTGAAGGCAGGGAGGCAGGGAGGCAGGAAGGTGGGAAGGTCACAGGCATGTTCTGGACTGTGGGTGTACATGGAAGGGAGGCAGCTGGACACTAAACCTCAAGGGCAGAAGCTGAACAGCAGTTTTCAAAACCACCTGAGAATGGCAGATGCAATGAGGAGAGGCTTGTGGAATGAGGGGCACACAAGGAAGCTTTGGTGAGAGAGACAGTCGGACCAGTGCATCAGCCAATGAACGATGCCTATCTCCCTCATGGCTAGGGGTCTAAGGCCCATATCTTCTCTGGGAAAACCAGAGATGATTCCAGCCAGAGAACTAAATGCTGGGCCTGCTTACAGGACCTCGGCTGCTTTCTCCAAGGAGTCTAGAGAAAACCGGGTGGGGGTCTGGGCTTAGTTGGTGCCCACTGATCTGGTTAGGGCTTTTCTGTCCCACCTCCAGCCTCACCTCACAGTACGCCTCTTCTTGCCGGCAGTGGTTGTAGGTAGAGAAGATTTGGGGCCCTTCATGGTGAACGTGAGCACAGGTGCACTGTGGGGGTGGGAGAGGCAGATCAGGAGGGAGCCAGAAATGCTACTGACCAGTCTCCTCTCCAGCCCTGAGCTTGCAGGGAGGGAGGTTGGACCAAATGACCTGAGGCTTCTTCCTGCTCAGAAGTAGCCTCTCTCCCTGCCTCTCTTAGCCTGGGCTGACAGCTGAGTGACAGCCCCGTTCTGGGAGAACATCCAGATGTCAGTTTCTGGTGTGTCCTGGGAGCTGGAGTTCAAGCAATCTCACCCTTCCACCTGCCCAGCTCTGAGCTTGTTACTGAGCTGGTTCAGAGGACATGGAAGGTGTGGGGCTGTGGGTGGGCAGTCTGCCGGCCTCGGCCTCATAGCCCTGCCGCTTGCTCAGTCCTGAGCTGTTGCCATTCCCTTCCCCTATCATGCAGTTCAAGGGCAAAGGTAACGGCTTCACCTTTGCACTAGCAAATACTGAAGAAAAGTTTTCCTTTCTTGGTGTGCCACATCTCTTTTTGGTCTTTTGAGACAGGGTCTCTCTACAGAGCCCCGACTATCCTGGAACTCACTACGTAGACTAGGTTGGCCTCGAACTGACAGAGATCCGCCTGCTTCTGCCTCCTGAGTACTGGGACTAAAGGTGTGCAATACCACACTCAGCCTTCCTTCCCTATTCCAGATGCTGGGATAGAAACATCTGGAATACAAGTAGATGAAATAGGTATCTGTCTGTGGGTTCCAGAACCAAAACAAAGCCTAGGAACAGACAGAGCTGGGCTTGTTAATTCCTGCTTCCCTGATGACCCTTCCTAAGCTGGCGTCCCATTAGCTACTCAGGAGCATGCCATGAACCATCACAGAGTTGGCAGGATGAGGCACGGGCACCAGGTACTCTACAATCAGCCATGGTGCCACACAACTGCATGCTTTGCTTTCCTGGGCCTGGGCACAAGGCTGACGAGTGACCAAGGGGAGGCAGGTGGCAAATGCCTCTGTTCCAAGAGCCAGCTGCCTTCCACCTTCTGGGACTCACCTGGGAATGAAGGGCTGGTCTGTGCAGTTCAGCTCCTGGGGGACTTCCTCCCAGCCAACAGGATCATGGAAGCTGGGTTTGAAGGGGGACTCTTCGGAGACGGTGAAGGTGGTGTTGAGGTCACGAGTGGGTAGGGCGAGAGGAGTGGAGCAGTTCTGTAAGGCAGAAGGGCCCAGGGGCACCCGGCTTTTAATGACAGTAGCTGGGCAGACCCGGGAGGAGGGGGAGGAGGCCCTTTCTCCTCTGGGGGTTCTGGGCTCGGAGGCAGGCTGGGCCTTAGGTAGAGATCCCCTCCTCAGGCAGGGGAGGAAGGACTGGCGCTGGCGCTTCATCTCCTGAGTCGGGGCTGGTGGACTGCCCGGCTCTGTGGGGCTCAGTTTCCTCTTCTTCTTCCTCTCCTCGGCGGGCTTTTGGAATGTCTTGTCTGAGGTGCAGTCAGGTCCGAGTGGGACTCCCAGGGTGTGCGTGAGGCCATTCAGTTGCTTTGCCATGGTCCGGGTGACAGGACCACAGTACCCTGAAGATTCTGGACAGGGAAGGAACATGTGAGAAGGGACCTGGGGCTGGCCAGAGAGGAGTGTATGGGACATGGGAGCAGACCCCAGAGGCAGAGAGAGCCCTTAACTCCTCAGTTCTCTCTGGCCTGTTTGTGCATAGAAAGCCAGTCTGAGGTTCCAGTCCCCCACACAGCATGCCCCAGCAGCTGAGGCCCCAGCCCACCCCGTGGCTATAGGTGAGCCTTAGAGATCCAACAGCAGGCGAGACAGGCAAAAGGACACTCACTGGACTCTGAGCACTCCTGAGCTAGGGGGTGCCCCCTCGCCCGACCAGGAGCCCTGGGGCTCTGAGCCCCAGGTTCAGTGTTCTCATGCACCAACTGCTGCAGGGTCTCAAATTCTGAGATCATGTCAGGAGTCAGGAGGTTGGCTGCCTGCAGCAGGGAGTATTGTTGCTGGGCCAGGCACAACACCCGGAGGGCCAACCTGGAACAGACGGAAGAGAATCTGTATGTAACTTATTGAGAACCAGGCTGAGCAGGTCTCTGTGCTATACACTGTCCATCACTCTATACCTGGCTAGTCTGCCAGCTCCCTCCTGCCTTGCCCCAGACCAGTTTACCTGCTTTCACCCTCCTCCTGGCCATGAATCCTGTTTTGGCATACCCTTACCAAAGGCCAACACCTCCACAGGTAATGGTGGGAGGTGTCACCTATTATTCATGCCCTATGTCAAAGACAGTCACCTGGGAAATAGAGAAAAGGTGCCAAGTGGCCTTGAACTTGGGAGCTGAGTTCCTCCTCAGCTCTGCCACTTAATAGTGCTGTGGTCTTTTTGATCTCATGTAGCCCAGAGTGGCCTTGAACACGATACATAGCTGAGGATGTCCTTGAACTCCTGATCTTCCCTCCAGTCCCCAACTCCCAAGTGCTAGGATTACAGAACTATCATCTCTCCCCTCAGGATAAGACAATAGTTAAAAGAACCCAGATCCAATTAGTCCTGTTCAAATCCCAGCTCAACATGTCCCGTCCGCAGGGTCTTCACTGCACCTGTTAACTTCAGTCTCAACAGCTTTAAGATGGGGTGGTAACAAGTACCACTACATCACAGGGCTGCTGGCAACGTTAACTGAGGTATTGATTTACAGATTTATTTATTGGGTCTTCAAGACAGGGTTTCTGTGTGTAGTCCTGGCTATCCTGGAACTTGCTCTGTTAGGACCAGACTAGCCTAGAAATCCAAGATTCACCTACATCTGCTTCCAAACGGAGGGAATTAAAGGGGTACACCACCACACCTGGCTTTGTTACTATGGTTTGAGACAGGATCTCACCGCATAACTCTGGTTGGCCTGGAACTCAGAGATCCACCTGTCTAGCCTCCCTTATTCTAGGACTAAAGGTGTGAGCCACCATACCTGGCCTAAGTGACTCATTTTACATGCAGAATATTTAAAGGATGCCTGGCACACGGTAAACTATTACTTCTGTGAAATGGTGTCTACCTTGTTGGAATAAGGGGAGACTAAATAAGAGGCTATGTTGATTGTGGCTTTGAGAAGACCCTGGAAATGCATTTGGAGATGTGTTTTCTAGCTAATGGTTGGGATCCTGAAAAAGTGTGTGAAAATCAACACACATTTCACATGTACCAGGGGACTATTTAGAGGAAATTCTGAGGGTAATGTGATTATTGATATTGTAAATTTAGATTCTCATAAAGTAAAATTTCTTCCTCTAAGGCACGCCTGTGATAAAAGAAATAAACACAATTACCTTGGTAAGGATTATTCATGGCAAATGATTTATCCCCAGGTAACCACCTGTCTGGACTCTGAACCTCTTCACTGGCCGTAGTCAGTGTGTGCTCAGGAAACACAAACTCATTTGCCAAAGCAGCCTCAAGGCCTTTCTTTGTGAAAGCAGGTAGGACATTAATTAACAAGGACACAGCGGAAACTCGGTATCTTTTTGAGCCTCTATTATGAGGAAGATCTGAATTTGTTTTGTTTTTCAAGACAGGATTTCTCCGTGTAGCTCTGGATGTCCTGCAACTTGCTCTGTGGACCAGGCTGGCCTCAAACTCAGAGATCCACCTGCCTCTGCCTCCCAAGTGCTGGGATTAAAGGCATGTGCCACCATGCCTGGCTAAGATCTGAACTCTTTTTATTTCTTTTTAAGATGTTTATTTATTTTATATATACAGTATTCTGTCTGCACACATGCCTGCAGGCCAGAAGAGGGCATCAGAGCTCATTATAGATGGTTGTAAGCTGCTATATGGTTTCTGGGAATTGAACTCAGGACCTCTAGAAGAACAGTCAGTGTTTGTTCTTAACCTCTGAGCCATCTCTCCAGCCCGATGTGAACTCTTAAAAAGAGTGGGCATCGGGAGAAATACATGGGCCTGGGTGTCAGACGACTCGGGTTGGGCTTGTCCTTGCTCTGTGCCCTGGACAAAGACTACAGCTCCCCAGTTGACACATGGACAGCTGGGCTTTCAAATGAGGTTTCCAGCACGTGTAAGACAGAGCACCTGTTTTGTCTGTCCTGTGTGGAGGACCTCGGCATCGGACCTCACGTGAAGAAAGGCTTTTTTACGCCTGGGGTGGTGGCGCCTGCCTTTAATCCCAGCGTGGGAAGGAGAAGCAGGTGATCTCTGAGTTGAAATCAGTCTAGTCTACATAGTGAGTTCCAGCACAGCCAGGGTTATGTAGAGAAACCTAACCTCAAAACACCAACCAACTTGCCAGGCGGTGGTGGCGCACGCCTTTAATCCCAGCACTCCGGAGGCAGAGCCAGGTGGATCTCTGTGAATTCGAGGCCAGCCTGGTCTCCAAAGCGAGTTCCAGGAAAGGCGCAAAGCTACACAGAGAAACCCTGTCTCAAAAAACCAAAAAAAAAAAAAAAAAAAAAAAAAAAACACCAACCAACCAACCAATAAACAAATAAATAAAATAAAAAAGAAAGATTTTTACCACAGGGGGAAAAAAAAAAGTCTTGAAAAACTGAACTGGAAAAAAACTCTCCAATCTGCTCCATGCCCTGGTGGCCTAAGACTCTGAGCTCTAATGAAGTTCAAGGGAAATCACTATTATCTGGCTATCAGAGCTTTTCCAAATGCACAGGACACCACAATGCTCTGCAGCAACTGAGACTTGGGATCCTTTGTCATATTTTATTAGTATTTCATCTCAAAGAACTTAGCATAAGAATTGTGATTTTCGCCGGGCAGTGGTGGCGCACGCCTTTAATCCCAGCACTCGGGAGGCAGAGGCAGGCGGATCTTTGTGAGTTCGAGGCCAGCCTGGTCTACAGAGCGAGATCCAGGAAAGGCACAAAGCTACACAGAGAAACCCTGTCTCTCGAAAAACCAAAAAAAAAAAAAAAAAAAAAAAAGAATTGTGATTTTCAGCTGGGCAGTGGTGGTGCACACCTTTGATCCCAGCACTAGGGAGGCAGAGGCAGGCAGATCTCTGAGTTCAAGGCCAGCCTGGGCTACAGAGCAAGATTCAGGACAGCCAAGGCTACACAGAGAAACCCTGTCTCGAAAAACCAAAAAAAAGAATTATGATTTTCAAATCACAGGCAGAGCAAAAGTGATGACCAAGTAACCTCTCTTTATAATGGGGGACACCAAACAGAAAGATACTGCGTCATCCATGGGAGCCAGTAGTTGGGAGGCCAATGGGACACCCCACCCACATATCTCTGCCTCCTCACTCAGGGTCCAGGGAGTTGGCAGCAGGAGACAGATAATGAGCCTTTGATTATTCAGGCCGCAGCATTTTTGCTGAGTCGGGAACAGACACTCCCCGACAAGAAATAAAATTAAGCAGGCCCTTCTGTCCGGAAGCTTTAAATACACTGCCTAGTGTGAACCGTGCAGGGGAGGGGAGAGTGGGGCTGACAGTAGCAACGCTAAGTGGCAGGGGATTGGTGCACTGGGGGCCATGGGAAAACGAGAGAAAAGCCCCTCTGTGTGGCCCAGAAGAAATGGTCCAAATCTTTCCCTCTTTGGCTTAAGGGTGGAGGATCTTATTTACTTCTGGAGAAGAAATAGCCGCAATCTGTTGTTGAGAATGCACTGGAAAACCTGACTCATGGTTACCCCCCCTTCTGCCTGCGGCCTGGCTCCTCCTGGCTGTACAGGGACAGCCGCTCTGCAAAGACACTGGGCCCCAGCCGCCTGCCAGCACCCCCAACAGCCTGCCCGACCTAGCTCAGTTCTTGCTGTCTGTCAGGGTGGGTGTGCATGCGTGTGTGTGCGTGTGCGTGTGCGTGCACATGTGACTGTGTTGCCAACGGTGGCAGAATAGTGATGACAGTAAGAAGACAGAGTCCAGGATCACAGCAAGGGCTGGAAAACAGCCATGGGGTGAGGGTGAGGAACGGGGACTTGAAGCTAGGCAAGGTGCCTTAGGCCTTTAATCTCAGAACTAGGTAGGCAGAGAAAGGTAGATCTCCGAGTTCAAGGCCAGCCTGGTCTACAGAGTGAGTTTCAGGACAGCCAGGGCTACACAGAGAAACCGTGTCTCAAAAAACCAAAACTAGAAAGAAAACGGGACTTAACTGTCAGCTCAGAACCGACTGGCATGACATTCTGAACATCAGCTCCTATCCGAGGAGGCTAACCTGTCACTCCCCACCGTGGACTCACTTGCCGACAAGACACCTACTGCTTAAAATGATCCCCGTCCAGTCTCTGTGGCGAGTGTTGGCTCATGACCGACTTCGGCTGCAAAGTCACACTAGGCGACCCTGGCAGGTCCGGCTCTGGCATCTGGGTTGGAAACTAGAGAAGGAGGCATTAGTAGTGTAGCCAGGATGATCTCCTAAAATCCTTCCCCTGGGCTGCTGACATGGCTCAGCAGACAAGGGGGCTTGCCACTAAGCCTGAAAACCTGGGTTCAATCCCTGGGATCCACATGATAGAAGGAGAATAAACTGTCACAAATTGTCCTCTGACTTATACACATGCACTGTGGCATGGATACACACACAAAAAAAATAAATAAATGTTCACAAATAAAGAAATAGAATCCTCTGTCCCTTCTCGCAGCCACTTTCAAACACAAAGCACCTGGACTTTGTGAAGAGAAAGGGGAGTTGCCTTAATGATATTCCACCAGCCCAAGTCTTCTCAAGGCCCAGGCTTCACATCCACAAGTGCTACCTGCTTGTCCTGTAGGGACTGCTCCTGCTCTGAAGCATTTTCTTCCACAACCCTCTGTTCCTGGGCCTCTGTCTCCAGGTTCTCCTCTTGAAGGGTTCCACACTCTGCATGGAGTCCTGGGGTGTAGGACTGGCTGCAGTTCCCAGGCTGTAATGGGGAGCTCGGAAGGCTAAGGAGGAAGTGAATTTTGAGAGGTTTAAGAGGGAGAATAAGCAGGGGGGCCGGAATGTTTTGGTATCTGGTGGCAGAGTCCATCTGCAACTCTGGAGTAACAAATGGTAGCCGTTGGGGGGAGTGGGAGGTGTCAGTGACTTTTCTGGTTTAAGAGACAAGGACACCCAATCCCTGTGGACCTTCTCCTGATGAGGGGACACTGTTTGCTTATATGGCTGGGTGTTAGTGCTTCATCTAGGTAACTATTAGTTGCTAGTTGCTGGCCCCGGCTAGGAACCCCTTGTTTTAGGTGCTAGAACACAGGCAAAGGTTCGTAGCCCACCAAGGGGCAAGAAAAGAATGGGGCTCATTCTCTCTGCAGTTGATTTGAAGGGTGAGGCAGGAAAGGGCAGGCACACTCACTGTTGTGGTATGCTCAACTTGGGGGACCGTGGGGAGTGCTGTTGCTGGGCCTGGGCTCCTGCCTCATACACCTGGAGCTTCTCCCTCAGGGCAGCCACCTGAAACAAGAGCATCCCAGTCCTCAGAGCCCCGGATGACCACAAGCACCAGGGGTGGGCACAGAAGCCAGCAGGACCCCAAGCTTCTGGTTCTTGTCCCCTCCCCAAGTCTGCCTCCAGAACTGCTCCTCACCTCGGCCTGGAGCTGCTGGCAGATGGTGGCATATTGGCTGATATGATGGTCCAGGCTGATCACGTTGCTCTTCAGCTGAGGTGGGGCGCACAGAAGAGATGTTTGTTTATTTAAACAAATGACAATGATCACCATGACCACAGGCTGTGTGGGAAGCCTCACTCATGTTACCGTGACTAACTCTTTCAACTCAGGTAACGGACCAGAGGTCTACTGTAACGTACTGCCTAGGACCACAGCAAAGGGCAGAGGATTGTGTGGGGTCTGAACCCTGACTCTGACCTTCACATTAGCCAGGCAATGGCCTGCTCTGTAGCAGCTCCACATAAGCATGGTTCACTGCAGAGACAGGCAGGGGAGACCAGAATTCCTCTGCTTTTGTCTGAGTCAGTGTATATAGGTATTGATACTACTTTATTGGAAATAGGGTTCTGTTGCCTGTAGCAAGTCTGGATATCCTGCCTCAGTATAGCTGAGGTCTTCCTCAGGACAGAATATTACTGCTTCTATCACAAAGACCATTCGTGAGTCCAGGGAACTTTCCTGTGCCCGGGAACAACGGATAGGAATCTAAGGGCTGTCTAGGGCTTGTCCCCACCTCCTCTCAGGTTGGGGCTCCCTCCACATGCAGGACATCCCTGCTGGCATGTACCGTGAGTCTGATCTCCTTGGCACGGTCAGCATATTTGAGGGTGTTGTAAGTATCCTCGTAGGTCAGGCTGGAAGGGCTGACGGCCGCAATCATCACGGTGCGGCAGTTGCCCCCAATGGAGTCCTTGAGCAGGCGGGTCAGTTTGCTGTCTCGGTAGGGCACATGAGACTTGCGGCCCTGGGGCAGTAAGTGGATAGCTGGGTTAGACTGCCCCGTGCTGGGAAAGGGACCACTGATTCAGGTGCTCATTTTCTGTTCTGGAGGTGCTGAGTCTGCTGTGCATTACCTTTGCATCGGCCAGGGCATTGAGGACATTGATGAGGGCTAGCAGAGAGCGGTTGATGTTGGCACCCTCCCGTAGCCGCTCTCCTTTGGCATGGGTGCTAGATGCCCGCTCTGAGCCAGCCAGGTCAATCAGGCTCATCTTGGCTACTTGAAGGGCCTGGGTCAGTCCTGGAACCCGGTCCTGCTGCTTCACAAAGATCTGGGGGCAGAGGGTAGAAGTGAGGGATGTAGACATCAGGACCCCCAGTCTTAGGCTGAGCACATGCTGCTGCTCACCTGGAAGATGGCATGAGAGCGGGAAGACGTGGCGTTGGCATCCGTGGGGTGCTGTGTGCGGCTGCAGTTGCCCCTGGTCAGCATCTCCAGTAGCTGTGCAGCTGAGGCTGGCTACAGAGGAGATACCCAGGGAGGGGCTGTGGTCAGCATCTCCAGTAGCTGTGCAGCTGAGGCTGGCTACAGAGGAGATACCCAGGGAGGGGCTGTGGTCTTACCACCAGGGCTTTTCTCCTGGCAGGAAAGACTGTCCTTCAGAGCCTGTCACCCTCTATTGCTACTCCGCCACTGCCGCCATCACCATAACCACCACCACCACCACTACAGCATCCAGGAGACTCCCAAACTGCCATTTGAGGGAAGCCCAGAGCACCAGCGGAGTGACTGGCCACACCTGAGGCCCAGTGCATACCTGGTGGAAAGAAAGCCCCGGTACCACCACTCCCTTATCAGGGTCCTCACGGATGGTGAGGGGTCCTTTGGGCTCCAGGAGGTCATGGATCTGCTCATTATATACCTTAGGAAAAAGAAGAAGAGGAAGAGACCCGAGGAAGAGCACCGCCCCAGGATAGCAACAGGGCACAGACTGGGGGACTCGGAGGGGACAGACTTAGAACAGGTGCTGAGACAGTGGCCCTGAGAGCAGCACTTTGCAGGTTGTGTCAGATGACAAGGGCAGGGAGGACAGGGTTCCCTCACGTGGTCTCTCACTGGGCTCTATCTGTGTGCCCTGGACCCTCTTCCCCAGGTACCACTCCACTGCCTCTTCAGGTGTTCCGAGAATGAAGTATGACGTGGGCCAGAGAAGTGGCAGCCCTACCTCCAGGTAACTGATGAGGACCTCGAACTGTTTTTCTTCCTGACGGGCTTCAAGACGCCTGTATAGTTCCATGGTGGTGAGGTACATGATGCCAGGGTCTCCCTCCCTTCCCAGCATGGTGTGTGTCTTCCCGGCCCCAGTAGCTCCATAGGCAAACACTATAAGGGACAAGATGGGGAAGAGGGAGGCAGTTGGGCCAAACCCACCTCTCCGAGGGCTGTCCCAGCATATTGCCACCAGGCTCAACCTTCTCAAGTCCCTTTCCCCTGCTGTCTATGACCACAGTACCAAGGCTTCTACCACGGGTATTCCCTCAGTGCTCAAGTCCACCGGTGTTCTCTCTGGACCTATCCTGGCTCCCTATAGTCTGTGGAGTCCAGGGCAATAGGATCTTTTTCTTTTCTTTTTTCTTTTTTGGTTTTTTTGAGACAGGGTTTCTCTGTGTAGCTTTGTGCCTTTACTGAACTCACTCTGTAGCCCAGGCTGGCCTCGAACTCACAGAGATCTGCCTGCCTCTGCCTCCCGAGTGCTGGGACTAAAGGTGTGCGCCACCACTGCCTGGCGGCAATAGGATCTTGATCTGCACTGGAGTTGAGGACTTTCCCTTCCTCTCCAGGCTGGGAATGCTTTCTGATGGAGGTCCACGTTTTTTTTTTTTTCTTTTTTTTCTTGCCATCACACTCCTGGGTTTATAGTGCATACACACACACACACACACACACACACACACACACACACACACACACACACACACACCTTCCCTCTAGAGTGTTGTACACATCAAGAGTTCAAAACCATGTCTAACTAATTGGCTCCTACGGTAGACTAGGACCCAGAGGAAAGCATTGCATAGTCAAGTGAATGAATGAAACCCCAAGCAGAGAGATCAGAAGATCCATGGAACTCCTCTCAGACAGAAACAGATAGGTAAGCCCACTACCCAGCAGGCAGTTCTCACCTGAGCAGTTGTAGCCCTGGAGGAAGCTGTCAAGGATGCTGTGTGTAGTGTGCTGGAACACATCCTGTTGAGTGGCCGCCTCGCCAAAGACTCGGTCAAAGACAAATGTCAGGTCTTTGCCCTTCTTCTTGGGGCCATTGTGGGAGCCAGTCCATTTTAGGCCAGGAAACCCCCCATCATACTCCTCAGGGTCAAACACCAGCACCCGCTCATCTACCACCTGAATCACAGGCCGCCGCTGACTCTCTAGCTCCCTTGGGGTGGGAGGCCTCACCCGAACGACCACACGCACCACGCTGTCTTCCACAGCCATCACCATGGCAACACCTGTGCAGAGACATGACTGAGGTGAGGACCACGCCAACTCAAGAGGATGCGTTAGTACTGAAGGGCTTTCCCCGCCTTCCAAGTGGCTGACCTCCACTTACTTAGTCCCCAAGGGAGCAAGACAGCAGTATCAATTATTATTATTATTATCACTATTATTTTTAAGATAGGGTTTCTCTGTGTAGCCTTGGCTGTCCTGGAACTCTTTCTGTGGACTAGGCTGGCCTCAAACTCACAGAGATCCACCTGCCTCTGCCTCCCCAGTGCTGGGATTAAAGGTGTGCACCACCACCACCACCACCACCACCACCACCACCACCTGTCAACAGTATCAATTATTAACACACATTTTTCTCATGTGAAATACCACACTTGTCATACTCGAATGGCTATGCTTCCAAAGGTCTTCTATGGACTTCCTATATTTTCCACTAAGCCTTTTGGCTTCAGAGGCAGTGAGATGGCTCAGCAGGTAAAGGTGCTTGCTGCTAAGCCTAATGACGTAAGTTCAATCCCCAGGACTCCTGCAAGTTGTCCTCTGACTCCAACACATGCTTTGTAGCATGGCCCCTTTTGATAAATAAAATGTAATAAACAATTTGTCTATACTCATACCACCACCATACTTTTCCTACTGTTAGAACACACTTTAAATCTAGTAGCAAGACTCCCTCACTGGACTTTTTCGTAACATCTTAGTATTACTAGGCATTTGTTATGCTATTTGTGACTTTCTAAGAAATTTTATTGGCACTAGCCCTGGTTATGCACGACTATAATCCTAGCTACAGGAGAGGAGGAGGTGCTAGACCAAGCGTCGGGGCCTGCCTGGGCTGCAGAGAGAGGTCCTGTCTCGGATAACAAGTAAATGAGAAGGGTGGAGTCAAGTGTCCGTGAAGCTCTGGCTTCCATCCTAGTACCGAAGGGGAAAGAAAAGAAGTAAACTGGAAGTTGGGCTGTAGTGCAGTGGAACACTTATGCTCGCATACGTAAGGCCCTAGGTTTGATCCCCAGCACCACTAAATACATATATACACACATATCTAAATACATAAGAAACCAAAATCGTATTAATTTAACCCCAACCCACAACACCCTTTTCCTCTCAAAAATAACCCTGATGTGATTACAGCTGAAATTACATACTTATTGAACAGTTTAGGCTGGGTGTGGTGGCGAATGCTTTAAACCTAGCACTGGGAGGCAGGGGTAGAAGAATTTCTCTGAGTTCTAGGACAGCCAAGGCTAGCTAGACTTAGTCTCAAAAAACCAAAATCAGCAAAACGTTTTAGGCAAAAATGTGGCTATTAATTATTCAAACACGTTCTATGCCCCTCAAGATGTTCTCTTTTTTAAAAATTCCAGATATTATGTAATTACACTTTAAAAATATTTTATTTTCACTTTGTGTGTGTGTGTGTGTGTGTGTGTGTGTGTGTGTGTGTGTGTGTGTGTGTGCAAGCCCATACAGCCTGTGAGGCCAGAAGAGGGCACTAGATGTTAGTTGTGAATCCCTGATGTTGGTGTTGGGTATCAAATTCTGGTCCTCTGAAACAATTAATGTTCTCAACTGCTGATCCATTTCTCCAGCCCTGTGATTACTATTTTACTATCATCCCCAAGTATAGATTTAATTGCTTTTCAAAAAAAAGTCCATTTATTTTTGTGTGTGAGGAAGTCAGAAGCCAACTTTGTGGAGTTGGCTCTCTGTGTCCACATTTCCACGTAAGTCAGGATGCCGGAGTTGTGCAGTGAGCACCGTACTCATGGAGCCATCTCACTGGCCCAATTTAATTGCTATTATGAATGGAGTATCTTCCAACTGAGCTTTGGATATGTGTCTTGTATTTATTACCCTCAAATTCTCTTATTTAATTCCAGGACTTTTTTTCTTTTTTTGGTTTTTGTTTGTTTGTTTTTTCAAGACAGGGTTTCTCTGTGTAAGAGCTCTGGCTGACCTGGAACTCACTTTGTAGACCAGACTGGCTTCAAACTCACAGAGATTCACCTGCCTCTGCCTTCTGAGTGCTGGGATTAAAGGTGTATGCTACCACTGACCAGCTTAATTTCAGTATTTTTATGTTTCTTGGACTTGCCAAATAAACACTTACGTATTTGAAAATATCTCCCCCCTTTCTCTATATGTAAACCAACTTTTTTTTCTTATTTAAAAAAAAGTCCCTGTGTATGTATGATGTGTGTGCATGTATGTGTGTGCGTTTGTGTGTGTTCACATATGTGAGTACAGGCATGTGTGTAGAGGTCAGAGAACACATTGCCTCCACTCGTACAGCAAGTACCTTTACCGGCTAAGCCATTTCTGCAGCCCATTCTATTATTTTAAAGAGTTGCTATTTGAAAGATCTAGAACTTCAGCGTCTTCTCTCTCTGGGGTACATCATTGGCTATTACTGATATCAAAGCAACCACGTATTCTTAGGGGAAAACCTGCCTTAAGTGTAGTAAACTTGCAACGTTCTTGTTTGTTTGTGTTGAGACAGGGGCCCATGTACTCAGGCTAGCTTTGAACTTGCTAGGTGTCTCCCAAGTGCTAGGATTACAGCTGTGTGCCCCTATACTCAGTAAGGGCAGACAACTGTAGTCAGCAATTCTCAGGTGGCTTTTTTTTCATTTATGCAATGATTTTTACTTTTATGTTGTTTTTTTGAGTAGGGTCCCATGGGGCCCATGCTGGTTATTTTTTTCTTTTTAAACTATGTAGCTGAGGCTAGCCTTGAACTCTTGATCTTTCTGCTTCTACTTCCCAAGTGCTGGGATTGATTACAGGAATGTGCCACCACTCCTGGCTTACTTTTATTTTTTTGAGATAGAGTTTCAACATTCAAATGAATGGTCAAATATGTCTATTCTTTCCTTTTATGACTTTTTTTTTCTTTTTTTTATGACCTCTATGTCATGTTTAAGAAGACTTTTTTTTTTGCTGGGCTGGGGAGGCAGAGGCAGAAGAGTCAATCTCTGTGTGTTGGAGGCCAGCCTGGCCTACACAGTGAGTTCCAGGGCAGCCAGGGCTACATCGTGAGACCCTGTCTCAAAAAAAAAAAAAAACGCAAAACAAACAACAATAACAAAAAAAAGACATTTCTTCTCCAAAGCAACAAATGCTTTTTTTTATACTCCTGTCCAATACCTTCCTTCCTTATATTCTTTTTTCCAGCTGGCAAGCAATTATCTGAAGATCATTTATTGAAGATTTCTTTCCCACCTATTTCAAACGCAAAATTTAACACAACTAATTTTTTTTTTTTTTTTTTTTGGTTTTTTCGAGACAGGGTTTCTCTGTGTAGCTTTGCACCTTTCCTGGAACTCTCTTTGTAGACCAGGCTGGCCTCGAACTCACAGAGATCTGCCTGCCTTTGCCTCCTGAGTGCTGGGATTAAAGGCGTGCGCCACCACCACCCAGCACACAACTAATTTTTTTATAGAGACATGTGCTTATTTGTGAGTTTCACTCTTCATCCTGGCACACTGCGGTTGGAGTCCCCTGTAATGGACCACCTCTTGCACTTTTTCTTGGTTATTCTTGGACATCTTGCCTTGCATATGATTTTAAAATTATCTTGTGAAGCTCCATGAAGAAAATCCTGCTAAGATTTTAATTTGGGTTATTTTTAATTTATAGGTTAATATGAGAAGACTTGGTGTCTTGACGATACGGAAGCTTCCCACCTAGAACTGCTGTCTCTTTCCACGCGCTCACAACTTTATAATCTTCAGTAAAATTTCATAATTTTCCTCTCGTGAGTATCGTACATTCTTGATTCGGTTTATTACTAGTTATTACAGTCTTTGTTATGTGGTGAATAGACGCCTTTTAAAATTGCATTTTCAAAACCATATTTTGCCAGAATATAGGAAAGTTTTGAATATCTGGATGCATACCATGCAGCTGCCTAGAATACCAAATGTTCTTATTAGTTCTAATAGACTGCCATTGATTCTCTTAGGCCTTTCAATTAAATGATAATATAGTTTGCAAATAAAGACAGTTGCTTTCTATTTTCAGCTGTCTTTATTTGGTTGCCTACCCTCCACTGCCCAGTAGGGATGTAGGGATGGGTACTTGGTGAGATGATTTCACGGTGTCTCTCTCTGAATCTGTTGATGCGGACGGTAATACAACAGATTCCCCAGTGTTGATCTGGTAATAATTCCTGAGGTTTCCAGCCTGTAGTCATTTGGTGTTCCTTCACACCTCTGTGCCTGCCTCTTCATTTCGCCTTTGAGTTTTGAGGATGCAGGCAGGAGTCAGTCCGTTTAGCCCAGTTCTCGGGACGTATTAACACGGGGAAGTAACGGGGCTGTTCCTGAGGGATATGAACAGATGAATGCTTTCCCAATAAAGGTTATATCTGCTGATCAGTCATAATGAAGGCCATTCAGCAAAGTGGGGCTTCTTCTGAGTATTCTGGCCAACAGCGCGGGGTTTTCTTGGGGAATGAGGCAGAAGTGAGCTGATTTGAAACTCCTGTTCCTTTACCCCTAAACTTCACTTCTTCCCAGCACCAAACAAGGGAAAGATATCAACCAACAATAATCCTTTTATGTGTGTATAATCCAGTTTTCGTCCCAGCAATCGGATTGTCATAATAAACATATTAGCAAGTGCACACTCTATCAAGGTCTGTTCAAAGCACTGCACACATCATCTCCTTTTATCTCCACTGCAATCCCACAAGATGGATAGTATTATTACACTCATTTTTCAGTGAGGAATTGAGACAGAGAGGGTTAAGCAACTTGCCCAAGGTTCCAATACGAGTGAGTGATGGAGCCCTTAGCTCCAACCCAGGCGGTCTGACCGCAGAGTCTGCTGTCCTGTCTGATAATGATATTATATATTATGCTCTGATGATCAGAGGGTTTTAATAGTCCCTTATGTTTGTATAATAATTATAATCCCTTTTCTGGGACTAGATTATGTGCTCTGAAAGCACTTGCAGATGTATGGACTACACCTAATTTTCGACACCAGAGTTCCTTTTTCTTGTTTTTACATTCACACCCTCAGGAGACCTGCTTCTCTGTGGGAGAAGTAAAGGCAGAGCAAGCCTCGGTCTACACTGGCTGCCTCCCTGGCAGTTTCAGAGGCCCATGGGGAGGGTTCTGGCTGAGGAGGAGGCGCAGAGCAGCCTAACATTCTAAGCAGGAAATTAAAAAGGGCACTGGCAAAGAGTGCGCATAACCTTTACAGCTCTCTCCTCCCGCCTCCCGAGGGCCAGAGGGGCCAGTCTGTTTGCCTAATGAGATGTTTTCTTTCTTCCCAAGACAGTGCTGGGGGCACCAGGTGCAGAATGTAGGGTAACACTTGGCATGGGTGCCTCAAGGACACCTGGGTCCTGGTCTGTGTGCTGCATCTGACTGGTGGGGTGGTCTTTCCAAGAGCCACACCACCCGTCAATGTCACATCAGCTGCGCACTTTGAGAGCCAGTGAGAACAGCTACCAATCTGCTCCCACCCCAGGGGGATGAGGAGATTAATGAGAGACCGTTTGTCAAGTTTGCTTTGATCCTCGCTTGGAAAGAGCATTTCAGCCCAAAGTACAAGGGAGATGATTCTTTAATAAGATCTTCAGGGTTCTCAGGCAGGCACACTCAAGTCCTATTTCTAACCCTAGGCAGCTCATTAAAACCCAGAGGCGAGTGTGCTGCTGCTGATCTGGGGCTGGGAAACCAGGATTCAGATGTTTTAGGGGTGGCTTCTTTTGCCCACCCTTGTAGAGATGAGATCAACTTCTGAAGGCCCTGGAGGAGAATTTCTGAGGACTTGAGGGGATCCCCCTGCAGACAATGAGAGCTGAGAAGGAGGGGAATGAAGGGGTACATTCTTCAGACATGACTGTTACAGGCGCAGCCACAGCCTCTTCACTGATTTTTATCATTCCTTAGGTTAACTCATCCACGGACCCCAGGTATTTGGGGACCTGTCCCAGCATGCAGCAGATGCTGAATAATACTCGTCCTACGAATGAATAAGGGCCAGAGAACCCAGTCTGAACCCCAAAGCCTAGAAATAAGTATCGTTGCTACATTTACGGAGTGCTTTGCTGAGTGTGTCTGTATGCTAAGTACTCTGGGCTAAATGCTTTACAAATGGCTTCTTTTAGCTTTCTCAACAATCTCATTCTGTGAATAGGATTGTTCCATGTGACATGGAAGGAAAACAACCCATTAAAAAGATGGTAAGCAAGGCCAGAGTCTAAGCTCACTCAGAGGCACTACTCCATCTTTACACACTACTTCTGCCCTTCCATCAGTTTAGTACGTTTTTCTGTCCCACTTCTGGGCTTTGTATGTCCCTCACCTTGGTATCCATAGAACAGTGTGCTACAATAATGGACTCCTCCTATGCATGGCTTGATTTTTAAATAGAAAATCATAGACTATACTTTTTCTATCCAGGGCCGGGTGTTGCACACACCAGGCAAGCGTCCTAGCGCTGAGCTGTTTAATAGTTCCGTCTGTTCTCTTAGCTTGTCATTTTCTGTGGTCTGGCTAGAGACTCTGCTCAGTTTGGCCTGGAACTTAAGATCCTCCTGCCTCAGCCTCCCAAGCGCTGGGACTACAAGTGCATGCCACCATGCCTCTTTGCTTGTTCTTTCCTGTCTTACAAATCGTGATTTAGTCTTCTTGTCTTACAGTTCTGGCTAGGAACTCTATTACAGTATTGAACGGAAGCAGCAATAGTGAGCATTCTCCATCTTTCCTCGTTTTACAAGGAATGCTCTTATTATTTCATACTTTGTTAGTTTAAAGACATTTGTCTCCATTTCCAGTTTACCTCCACATACACAAACATAGACACTGGATGTGGACGGTGCTGAGGACTGAACTTAGGACCTTGAATATGCTGGTTTCTGGTTCCCAATGTTTTATTTGAAGTTTTAACAACTACACTTATTTTTATGTACTGGTAATTTTAATCATGTTCAACATAAAGTCCAGAATCTTAAGACAGAATGAAAATGTTTGCTTTTCTAACTGACTGTAAATATCTGGGAATTCAGTGGGGGTTTTCATTTGTGTGAAGGCGAATTTTAAACTAATATAATCTCCTCATTGGCCTTAGATCAATTAAGAAGTTTTACAACTTCTATTTGGGGAGCAATGGGGTGGGGGTGCTGAGAACTAAACTCAGGCCTTAGGACACACTAGGCAAGCAGTTGCCACTAAATCACATCCCTGACAACATGTGAGTTATCTTTTCATTATAATTGTGATGTTCTATTTAACCGAGTTCAGTGTATTTTTTAAATTCCCAAATGTGAATTTCCTTTTGTTTGTGTTTGGTGGGGGGGTTGTTTTGAAAGAGTTTCACTCTAACTGGCCTTACACTCAGAGATCCTCCTCTTACGCATCTCAGGGGCTGGGATTACAGGTGCCGGGGTTACAGAAGTGTCTTACTATGCCTAGCTTGTATTTATAATTTCACTGATTGTGGAGAATGTAGTTTATACAATATTACGATAATTATCCACAGTTGCTGTGCCACCAGATCGAGAGAAGCTTTACAAATGTCTCTAACAATATGCTATACTTTATTTATACTAGGGCTGGGAATGAAGCTCCTTGGTAGAGTGCTCATGGTCTTGGGTTTGATCCCTAGACTGTGAAAAGAAAAAGTACAAATGGATAAATTAGATAGTATAAAAAACCAACTAATTGAGAATGAGACACTTTAAAAACCTGTCTGGGGTGATGGGGGTGGGGTGGGTGTCGAGTTCAATAATGAAATAGGCAGAGAAGAAATGGCATGGGGAGACTGATTGAAGGAAGTGGTGTTAACACCGAAAAGCTCATTCAGAAAAATGATAGGTCTTCTCCGAGTCAGGCGTAACTACTCTATGCCTCGGTTTCTCAATATGCAAATTGTTAAGTAAGATTATCTGTCTCACCAGGTTATCGTTAGGCTTGAATGAGTTCGTTTCGACCTGAAATTGAGTTCATTTACGTGCCCAACAAATATTAGGCATTGCTAGTAAAATTATATGACACAGCATCTCCCCGTGACGCACAGAACCAATAAGTTCAATAAACTAGTTTAAGGTCTTTGGCACAGACCAGGCTCTACCTTTTAAATGTCACGTCAGTAGTTTAACGCTTAAAAAAAAAAAAATCGATCTTCCTGGTATAACACAGACCTGGTTTTCTTTCATTCCTTTCCTGTCTGGTTCACAACAGTATTTACTGGGTGCCTCGTAATCAAGTTGCAGCAAACCCCGACTCCCGCTCCACGCTCTCCGCCCCCCCCCCCCCCCCCCCGGGCGCACACGGCTGTGTAATTCACTCTGACAAGACGTGTGGAGACGAGCTTGGCTACCCCATTCTCTTCCGCAGGGCGTCCGAGCTCCCCAGTTCTGGCAGAAAACCCAATCCCACCTCACGCTCGAGGAGGCTAGCTGCTACAGAGCCGGGTGCATCTTTCAAAGGATCCGTGTACATGAGCAGGCCCAGTATGGGTCCCGGGCCGTGGACGCAGGGGTCGCGATCTGCTGTACATCTGATGTACAGGAAGGGCCCTCCTACTGGTCCCTGACCTTCCCAAACCAGCGCTGGTTCAGTCGGCGGTAGCCCGGCCCGCGCGTCCGAGACCTCCGCACCGACCCCACGGGGCCGTGCCCACCGCGGGTCAAAGCTTACCTTTCGTCGGTTCCAGCCGCTGGTGTCCCTCATGCGTCCCTCCGCCACAGACCGGAGCCCTCGGACCCCGGATTGAGTTTCCCCGTACCCTCTTCCACCGAACCAACCTTCTTCCGGCGCGGCGCGTTCAAATTAGGCGGTCCGCTCATCCGCGCTTCCCATTGGTCACCGCCGAGCTCGCTGATTGGCTGTTTCCTAAGAAACAAAGACAGCCCGAGGTGCGCCTGCGCACTTGTTCTCTTGCTTGCTGGAGGCTGTTTGGCAGAGACTGAACTGACCAGAGTTACCGCCAGAAGCCAGTCCCTAGCTGTAATACGAGGGACCCTGTCTCTGTCATATGTGTGCCGAGCTCAGCATCGGTTACAGCGAATTCGACAGGATTTCTAATCTGCTGCTGTGGCCTAAATGGGCATCCTTCTATCTGTAGTGGCGGTTCCTTTAATCACTTCTGGGCAAAGGTAGGAGCATCTGTGTGAGTTCGAAGCCAGCCCGGTCTACATAGCAAGTTCCAGGCCAGCCAGGGCTAGAAAATGAGACCTCTACTTGCTCTCTATTTTCAGTAGTCTTGGTCTGTCCTCCCTGTGGCATTGATGTAGGTCCGGGACATCTAAGGAAGGTAAAGTTTCCTCCACCACAGCTGTCCACAGGTTAGTAGAATCAGAATTTAATACCTGGTTGACGTGACTCAAACTCTTTATTCACCTAACTGGACCCAAAACGATAGAACAGCACTTAATTCAGTGAGGACCAAACAAGAAAATCGAGTGAAGGTGCCGTTACTACACAGCAACACAAACACTAAAGAATCGGTTGTAGCCGGGCGGTGGTGCCGCACGCCTGTAATCCCAGCACTCGGGAGGCAGAGCCAGGTGGATCTCTGTGAGTTCGAGGCCAGCCTGGTCTACAGAGCTAGTCCAGGACAGGCTCCAAAGCTACAGAGAGAAACCCTGTCTCGAAAAACCAAAAAAAAAAAAAAAAAAAAAAAAAAGAGCGGTTTGTTTAAGGATAGTTTTCTGGTTAAGGATTGCCTTCCCTTAACCAGATTTGTCTGTACAGAGGTGTGAGGGTATCATAGAGGGTTTAGGACCTTCAAGGCCATTAAGAGAACAAGCACCAAGTCTGGCATTTTTTTTTACCCCCCCTCATTCCCCCCACCCCCGGAGCTGAGGACCAAATTCAGGGCCTTTGGTCTACCACTGAACTAAATCCCCAACCCCATAAGTAAAAAATTTAAAAAGACATAATGTGAGCAACACACCTTGTAGACGTTCAGTGAAATGGTGCTAGGTGTTCTCATATTCGTTCAACGATTTGTTATGACAGCCAGGCTCAGAGAATACAGAGATAAGTGATACATGGAGCTCACAATCTGTAGGCGGAAATTAGATATTTATCAGGGGTGGGGATTGTGGTCCATGCTAAGGCAGAAGAGGCGGAATGTTACAAGTTCAAAGCCAGCTTCATATACATAGTGCTAGGCCAGCCTGAACTATAGAGTGAGCCCCTGGAAAGGGGTGGGGAAGAAGAAGTAAGAGGTGGGGAAGAGGAGAATTAAGCACTAACAATAATGTAGTATGATTTAGGCTATAGCAAGAACATACTGGGCAGCCAGACAGTGGTGGCGCACGCCTTTAATCCCAGCACTCGGGAGGCAGAGCCAGGTGGATCTCTGTGAGTTTGAGGCCAGCCTCGTCTACAGAGCGAGATCTACAGGAGGACAGCCAAGGCTACACAGAGAAACCCTGTCTCAAAAAACAAAAACAAAAACAAAAAAAAAACATACTGGGCAATGGTGGCTATGTTAGCTGAGGTACAAAGAGAGGTGAGGGGATAGTCCGGCAAAGTGTCTGTTTCTTGGATCTCAGAAGCCAAGATAAGAGAATTTTTTTGGTAAGAAGGTCAATTGACCTACAATTAGCCCAGTAAGAATTTCAAGGCCTAGGGGCTGAAGAGATGGTTCAGTGGTTAAGAGCACTTACTGCTCCTCTAGAGGACCTGAGTTGGGTTCCGAGCACTCATTTTGCAGGGCTCACCACTGCCTCTAACTCCAGCTCCAGGGGCTCTGACACCCTCTTCTGGGCTCTGCAAGCATCATCTACATATGCATGCACATACCCACTCACAGACAAATACATGTACACATAATTTTAAAAAATCCTTATAAAAAGAATTTCAGTTGGGCATGGTGGGGCATACCTTTAATCCCAGCACTCAGGAAGGCAGAGAGGCAGGAGGATCTCTCTCTGTGAGTTTGAGGGCAGCCTAGTCTACAGAGCTAGTTCCAGGACAGTCAGGACTACACAGAGAAACCCTCTCTCAAACCACACCCCATCCAAAAAAAGAATTTTAACTGGGCATGGTGGTACATGATTTTAATCCCAGCACTCAGGAGGCAGGAGGATCACTATGAGTTTGAGGCCAGCCTGGTCTCCATATTGAGTTTCAAGATAGCCAGGATAACATATACCCTGTCTCAAGAAACAAAACACAACACAAGGATTTTAAGGCTTAGGGTTGAACATATAGCTGAATGGTAGAGTGCTTGCTTAGCAATCAGGAGGCCATGTGTCTGATCCCCAACACTGTAAACTATATATGTGGGTACCCACAAACTCAAGGCAGGGCTGGCATGGTGGTTCAGTGGTAAAAGCTGCTAAGTTGATGATTGGAGTTTAATCCCTATAATTCCTCATGTTGTCAATGCCTTCCAAATGCCTGTTGTGGTGTGCATAAATTAATGTGGGGACAATGAATGAATAAATAAATAGACCTTAAACCCGAAGACTGTGTGCAGTTTTAGCCTCTGTCTTCTGGTCTACATCTTGTGGGGTGTACATACATCTTACTCCCTGTGACTGCTGAAACAGCCAGCCCTAGGTGGTTAGGGAATGCAGATGAGAAACGCATCTGGACACTCTTTTTTTTTTTTTTTTTTTTTTTTTAATTCCAGGTTCAAAACCGGGACCTGGCCATGCCAAGCAGACACTGTACAACCAAGACACATTCCTTGTCTGTTTAGTTTATACATCCTTCGCACCAAGGTCTGCCATTAGATGCTTCAGAAATAGACTAATTTGGGGGGCTGGAGAGATACTGGGTGATCTTCCAGAAGACCCAAATCCAATTCCCAGCACCCATATGGCCACTCACCATGGTCTGTAACTCCAATCCCAAGGACTCTGACACCCTCTTCTGGCCTCCACGGACACCAGCCATGCACATGGTACACAGACATCCATGCAGACAAAACACCCATACACTATGTATGTGTGTGTGTGTGTGTGTGTGTATTTTTTTAAAAAAAGAAATAGACTAATTTGAAAAGGTCTTGAATCATTCTGTATTCATTCATCTATTTATTAGTAATACTGGGAATGAAGCCCAGAGTCTCATGCATACTAGGGCAAGTGGTCTCCCATTGAGCTATAGCCCTAGGCCTCCGTTTTAATTTTTATTTTGAGACAGGGTCTCACTGAGTTGCTTAAGCTGCCCTTGAACTCACTATCCTCCTGGTTGACCTTGAACTCAAAATCTCCTGCCTCAGCCTGACAAGTGGCTGGGCTTACAGGCCTGTACCATCAGGCCCAGCTTTAAGACATCATTCTTACCATCTTAAACCCAGTCTAACCTAGTTCAGAGGCCAAGCATCGTGAGGGCTAAAGAGTCTATTTGCTGTATCATGGAAGAGTCCTTAAGTGGCCTTGACTTGGACAGCTTCAGAGGAACGGCAGCTTCTAGATCAGGATGGGACAAAAGAAAGTAGCAACCGCTCTGAGGACATTTAATTCTCAAGGGAACAGAGATATATGAAGTAGTGAGAGGAGAGGGATGGGGTCGAAGGAAAGGCTTAAAATATGATGGAAAGGCGCTAATGAAGTATGAGCCCTTGAAGATTAATACAGAAATGAGATTATCAGGGCTGGGGAGATGACTCGGCCAGTAAAGTATTTGCCATGCAAGCGTGGGTCCCTGAGTTTCATTCCCAGCACCCGTGTAAAAAGCTGAGCATGGGGCATGCACTTGTAATCCCGGTGCTGGGGAAGTGGGGACAGGTGGACCCCGGAAGCTCACTGGTCAGTTATCCTAGCCTAATGAGAAATTCCCAGCCCCTGGTGAGCAACCAGGTCTAAAAAACAAAAAACAAAAAACAAAAAAACAAACAAACAAACAAAAACAAAACAAAGTAGGGGCCAGGTGTAGTAGTGCACACCTTTAATCCCAGCAGAGGCAGAGATGGATCTCTGTTCTCTGCCAGCTTGGTCTAGAGAGTTCAGAGCCAGTCAGGCTGGCTATCTATCTATCTATCTATCTGTCTGTCTGTCTATCTGTCTGTCTATCTATTTATTTCAGAGATATTGCTTTGGTAGTTAGTGCCTGTGGAAGAGAATGGTGCAGGATGGAGCAAAGAGAGAAATTGTGCTGAGCTCTCTGAAGATGAGGATAGGAAGATACTTCAGAGTGGTCCTTTGTAGGGGCAGGAGGACTGAGCAGGGAGCCGAGGCCTCAATGCCCTTGGCAAAATCAGATGTGGGAGTGAGTTATGAAGAGACGAGGGTAAGACAAGCGAGCAAGGCACTCACATTGGCAGAGGTAAATCCCCCGGGAGAGGGATTTTTCAGGCAGCTGAACATGATCTGCTGGCAGCACTTCCAGCAATCGGGGGAATAGATCCTTCCACCCTGAAGGACACCTGGATGGTGCCTCACAGTGCCCATCCAACCATCACGGAGGAAAAGGGGGGAGTTTAAGGAGGGCAAGAGATGTTTGAGATAGCTAACGTTATGGCAGAATGGTTCTTATGTGGCTGGCACAGTGTCATGTACTAAAGGAAATATTGTCCCCTATGGAAAAGCCCGAGTCTGGCTCTGGAGACAGGTGACTACTGGAAGGCTTCATGGAGGAGCAGGCAATGGACCTGGGCTTTGAATAGCGAACAGGTATTCTGCAGGCAGCTGCAGTAGCCAAGGGTCCTCACAGATCCCTCTTTACAGCTCTCATGCCCTTGGTAGTGTTCCTGTCCAGGCTGGAGCTTCTTGCTTAGGGACCTAAGGGACTTCTACCTTGGGGACCCGGGAAGAAGCCTTCAGATTTACCCTTCCCCAGCTGGAAGGAGGCATCACAGAAGGCATGCTGGGTGACTAAGGGGAGGGAGAGCTGCTCAGCCTGGAATGGAAGAAGAAACACTGTCACCCCAAAAGTACAGCTACAGCAACAATTTCGGGCCCAGGGGCTCAGATTTCAGAGACCAGCATCCTTGTAAAACAAGAATAAGAGCAAAGCAGCAGGGTGGTGGTGGCACACGCCTTTAACCCCAGCACTCGGGAGGCAGAGCCATCTCTGTGAGTTCAAGGCCAGCCTGGTCTACAGAGCAAGATCCAGGACAGGCACCAAAACTACATGGAGAAACCCTGTCGGAAAAATAATAAAAGAATAAGAACAAAGCAAGCCCCACACAGTGTAGCTGCCTCAGAGCAACTCCTGCTCACAGCTGGAGGAGCATCCCTTGCCCTCACAGGCCACCATGCTGTGGGTGTCTGTGTACTGTCCCCACAGGTATTTTCAATCTCTAGTGCTCTGTTCTCAACCTTCTGATGCTGGGACCCTTTAATACAGTTCCTTGTGTTGTGGTGAGCCCCAGTCATAAAATTATTTTCGTTGCTACTTCATAACTGTAGTTTTGCTACTGTTATGAATCATAATGTAAATATCTGTTTTCCAACGGTCTTGGGCGACCCCTGTGTAAAGATCGTTGACCCCCTCAAAGGGGCTGTGACCCACAGGTTGGGAACCACTGCTCTAGTAGCTCTTGTCCAGCTCCTTGGCAGTGAGCAAAGAGCTTGTCTATAGGTAGGTGTTCAGCACTATTTGCTGAAGTGAACAGAGGAAATCCAGACAGGAACATATGGAGGCCTCGGGGTATCCTTGTACTCACCCCAATTTGGAAGCCACAGAGCAGAAGGGTGGGAGAGTCCAGAATGGAGACTGAAGAATACATTCTGAATACTTAGCTCTACCTCCTGCATCCCCTATACCAGATCCTCCCCTTAGAGTCCCACACTCACTTGGTTGTTACCAGGCTAGAAAACGACCCAGGTATCATCACCTTTTAGGAAGCATCATATTAATCCCAGGCACTGACGTACAAAGAACAGTAAATCTCGGGGCTCAGGGAACTTGGATTACAGCAATAACAACACATATACATTTTTCTTTATAACTTACAAAATAGGGTCTCATTCACTTCCTCACGACAGCCTTTCAAGTAGATTTTGTTATCCAGCCCCATTTTGTCGGTGAGGAAACACAGGCTCAGAGAAATGAAATGTCTTCTCCTAGACCATCTAACGTGGTCGGGACTTGAACCGAGTCTTTTGTCTCCCTCCACTCCTGTTTATCCTCTAGGTCCTGTGATCTCTGGTTCTCGCGCTGCCCTGGGCAGCCTTTTCTGGGCCTCTGTTTCTCCAGTTGTGGAATGGAAGCCCCCCCATTCTGTGACTTTGATTCTCAGTTTCAGCACATGAGACAATTGGGTGGCATGTGGAGGATGCCTGGGGTGGGAGAGTCCTCTGGTCCCTTTTCTCTTTCAGCCACTAGCTGCTATTTCTCAGTAACCCTTCCAGTCCCTTCCTGTTCCAAACACGTGCAGACTTTTCACTTCCACTTTATTATCACCTCATTTGTAGAATTTTAAGGTTCGTTACCTGGGAGCTAGGAACTCACACCTCCAATTCTGTTTTTCATATATACCTTCATCACGTGTGAAAAAAAGCCTTATTAACAGCATCTAACCTGTCACAGCTTCGTCTGGGGGGCATCTAGATCAAGAAATGCAGAGAGCACCAGGGCAGGGGAAACAGCATGGCTGGCCACAGTCGGGGAGCCTCTGGACTCCTGAAATTTGCTCTTGGCCTTTGAGGGTCCCGGGCCTGTCATGGTCAGCAGAACTCCAACCAGGGTTAGAGCTGCTCTGAGTAGTGGGCCACCCTCTCTGGGTCTATAGTTCCTGCCTCTTCCCTTGCACCCCCAAACTCCTCCCCGAACAGTTCCTGTGCCTGCCCAGCTCCCCAACCTCCTGGACACTTGTCCGGGATTGATTGTCTGGGCAGCTCCCCCTCTGAGCAGTAAATGAAATATTGGTTACCAGGAGTGAGGCAGGAGCCAATTAACCCCTAGACCTCGACATGGCAGATGTGTTTGTAGGAAGCTGAAGTGGAGAGCCGAGTGCACCTGCCTGGCCTTCCTGCAAAGTCATCCAATTAGGGCAGCCCCCGGCAGTGGGCCCCACTGCCCCCTCTGGACCCAATAACCCCAGAAACCAGGGTGACACCAGCACCTACAGCTGGCAGCTGCCTGGTTATAGAATGGCCTGCCATTCCTGGATGAGTGAACTCCGGGGATACCTCCATCCTCACTCTCCTCCTGACTGGGACATTCTTCCTTAATTAATCACGCACCTTTCTAAAGGGGAGGGGTAACCTGGGGAGAGTTCTTGCTTCCATTCTCCAGAGTGGACTCACATCCTGCCTGTCCAGACTTCTTCCACCTCCCACCCAGCTCTACCCCTGGAATATCCCTGTACCTAAAAACCCCTGACTGAGGGCTGAGGGGGAGACGCACCATCTGCTCTCAGAGAACTCCGAACTTCAAAGGAGGCAGTCTTGTCTTCAAGGATACCCCAGCTCACAGGTCGAAACTGGCCCCTCATCTCAGAAAGGCCTAGACAAACAGGAAAGTAAACTTGTGCCTCCCCACAGAACTAGTGGGAGCACCACCACTACATCGAGGGATCAAATTACTGTTCAAAGCAGATACACCGCTCTCTGTCAAGGAGCTAGGTGCAGTATGAAAGGAAAATACAGACTTTGAGGTCCCATTAGTCTGATGCAGGAGACACAAGCCTTGCCTTCAGAAAACTTCCCAGTCTGAATAGTGGAGACATAGCTCTTGCTCTCATCAGCTGTCGCCCATCTGAAGGAGAAAACAGATTTTTGTCCTTAGGGAGCCACTGTCCGATGGAGAAGACACCTTCTAGTAGATTCTCTTGTAGCTGGGATGTTGCCTAAATGCAAGCAGCTGGCATCATAGGACATTCCTGGAGCTTTGCAAAGGTAGAAAAACTCTTTGGCTTCAATCCAGTCCTAGGTGTGCCGCAAACATCCTGCCTGGCCATAGGCAAGTCATGAGTCTGTGAGCCCTCATCTGCAAGAAGGGGGATTTCAGTCCCATCTCTCAAAATGACATGAGGATTATCAAGTCACCAGAAAGAAATGCAAAGCAGCCAGCTAGCCAAGCACTGACTGTAGACACAATCAGCATGCTTTTGGTTGTAACAGAAGTCCTGGGATAGTCCTTACGGCCTCCCGGTTAGGACGGGACGGCCCCTCTACCTCACCCGCATCCCCCCCCCCCCCCCCCCCCCGTGGCAAGTATGGTCACCAGGCAATTCTGAGTCAGTGTGGCTATTAAAGAGTCAGAGGCAGCTGTGGGCATCACTGGGGGACAGGAGGGGTGTCTTCTAATCTAATCACACTTCCCACGGAGACTCTAGTTCCATCCAGAGCTGCCAGGGGTTTTATTGGGTTTGTGGGGACCTGCAGATTTCAATCTCCAGATCCCACAGGGAAGGAACAAGCATTAAACTAATTTTATTAAATGGCCACAGCTGGCAGCGGGGGGAAATAGGGGCGAGAAGGGAAGATAAAGAAAGCCATTCAAATCTGCCAGCCCTGACAAGGGTCCATACACGGGGCCTGGCCAGGAGGGTGCCTACCCCTCCTTCCTGTCTCTCCAGCTGAGCCAGACCGGCCAGCCAGATGGGACCTTTCCTCAATGTAGAGCACTGGCATTCTCCAAAAGCCCCAGCCCACGGTTGCAGCCCATGGCAGATGCTTATGAATGCATCAGGCAGGCCTCTGTAGGGCTGGGATGGAAGAAGGATGGGGCGGGGCTACCCCAACTCCAGCCTCAGCTCTGCTTTGAGTATGCCAGTTCCTTATGAATATGGAGCACTGGGTAAGAGCACTGTCCTCGGCTCGAATATTGGCATTTGCCTGTTCATAAGCCCTGTGGTTTGGCAAGTTACATAACCTCTCTGAGCTTCAGTGTCTTTATCTAAAGGCAGACAAAATAGCCAGGGTAAGACGGTGCCTCTGTAGTCCCACTGAGAAGCTGAAACAGGAGGATCGCTTGAGCTCAAGAGCGATGGCAATCCTGGGTACGATGGTGAGCGAGACTCCATCTCAAAGTAAATGTATCATTAAAATGAACAAAACAGGCCAGGCAGTGGCAGCACACACCTCTAATCCCAGCACTCCGGAGGCAGAGGCAGGCAGATCTCTGTTAGTTCAAAGCCAGCCTGGTCTACAGTGTGAGTTCCAAGACAGCCAGGGTCATTACACAGTGAAACCCTGTCTTGAAAAACAAACAAAAAATAGACAAAAGCATCTATGGACATGGGAGCTTTCCAGGAACCCATTTTGCACCTCACACATATCTGTGAGGAAATATTTATGAAATGCCTACAGTGTCCGACATACACTGGGTATTTTTCTTAAATATTAGCTATAATTATTTGGAAATGCCCTATTTGTGTGCTACAGCTTGCCAATTACAAGAACTTAAAAGAGGCACTGACGCCAGGTGGTGGTGGTGCATGCCACCTTTAATCCCAGCACGAGGGAGGCAGAGCCAGGCGGATCTCTGTGAGTTCAAGGCCAGTCTGGTCTACAGAGCGAGTTCAGGACAGACACCAAAACTACACAGAGAAACCCTGTCTCGAAAAACCAAACCAAACCAAACCAAACCTCCCCCCCCCCAAAAAAAAGAAAGAGGCATTGGCAGGCCAAAAAGACTCAGTGTAACCCACGTACATCCACAGAACTTAACAACTCTGTCACTTTAATCTCCGTGGAAGAAAACCTACCCATTCACCTAACTCCAGCTCGGGTGAGAGAGTATCTGAAAGCATTTTGCAAACTTTAAAATGATGTAGAAACAGGAAGAGCTATGTACTTTGAGCGTGTTCAATCGAGGGAAGTGGGTCTTCTTTCCCACATTTTACTGATGAAAAACAAGAGGCCCCGATGTAGTGATTGGAAGGTCAACCAGCTTTTAGTGCAAAGCTTGGTCCTTTCTGTGGCGTTCACCAGCCGGAGAGTGACTTGCATCACATGTGACGTCACAGGAACCTAGGCTCTCCACTTACAAAGTTGTCTGTACCTTGTTCCCAATGCAAAAATGGCACTTTACCACCACGTAAGATGTAACTGAATTGCTTCCCACTCCAGTTGCCTACTCGGGCTGTGGTGAACATCAGGCCTTTTGGCCCTTTCCTAGAGCAGCTATGACTCCAGCATCTGGTTGTCCCCAGAAATTTTTACCCTACTCCTTCCCAGTCTAGAGGGCAGGGTCGGGGCACCTTCTACAGACTTCCCCAGGGCACAGACTGAAAGCCCCACGGGGTGGAAATGTTTTTATTATAGCTTTGGTCAGACCAGTTGCAGCTGTTCCAGGGTTTTGTGGGTGCTGGGATGTTATCCAGCCCCTAACCCGCTCCTCCCCCAGGCGGGGGGGGGGGGTCACCCCTCAGGAAGCAACCGCGCCAACTCCCCCCCCCCCAGACTGGGGCTGGCTGGCAGGAGGGGGTGGGCAGTAAACAGTCCTATTGTACACATATACAGTGCAGGCTGGGACCAAGAAGGCAACCTGCCACCCGGGCCGGAACTGCGTGCGGGTTTGGGAGGGGTGGGGGGTGGGGGATGAGGACCTTTGCGCTCCAAGAAGTAAAGGCCTGGACTAGGTGGTGGAGGCGGGCTAGGGGCGATTCAGCCTGGGAGAGTCGGCAGCCTGGGCCAGGCAATTTGAAAATGAGTAGGGAATGGGTTCTTGTTTGCCTCTCCCTAGAGGGGAGCCCCAGGGATGAAGAGCCACGGATGGAAAGGGGTGCGGGGGCTCAGTCTGAATAGATGATGAAGCCAGAGAAAGTGCTGTATTTGTTGCTGTTGCCCCCGTGCGCTTTGCCTCCATCCAGCTTGATGAAGACCTCATCGCCTGCGTCCAGGTGCAGGATCACGCTGTTGCTGGCGTAGTCGTAGTTCTGGTCTGCATCCTGGGCAATGGCGCTGGCCCGCACCTACGGGAGGGGGCGGGGCGGGGCGGGGCGGGGCGGGGCGGAGGTGGGGTTCGGGATGGGGAATGGGGCAGTGTGAGAGGGGAAGGAGGTGAGGCAGCCACATGGTGAGGATCTGGAGGCTCTAAAGCCCAGCTTTCCAGCCATTCAGGACCTTGGCCTGCTTTCCATCATCCCACCCTACCCCCTTTTAATCATACATAACAATTTTGGGAGCAGACATAGAGGAGCCCTGGATTCTAGGGCAGGGCACATCTGGGCCCGAATTTGAAGTCCAGATGGAGTCGTCCCCTGTAACTCCTGCAGGTCTTACCATCTGCCTACTGCCTACCTAGGTGCCTCCAGGGTGGCCCAGCTGGGAAGTCCTTCCTTGTACAGAGGGCTGCCTTGTACTTCCTGAGATGAAAGATCTCCCCTCCCTCTGTCCTCAGCATTCCTGCCTCTCTGCTTCAATATCGACGCTGTTTTCATTTCTCTCCCACCCACCTGCTCTCATGTCAATGGATGGACAAAGGATGCAGCTTGGGTAATACCAGACAGCTAGGAAGGAGCTTTCCCAGAAGCAAGGCTGGGCCTTTGGTCCTATCCAAAGCTTACTCCAGAGTCTCTCTCACCTTGGCACTGAGACTCAAGACCTGGTAATTCCTTTCCCTTCTGGCCTTTAATTGACTTCACTGCCCAAGGCCTCCAGGAGTTGGAGCTCTATCCCTGTGACTATTGCCCTGGCCAGAGGACTTCTAACTCTTGGTGTTTCATCCTAGGGTAGCGGAGAGGAACGGGATGGGAGGAAAGGAATTGGGGCCTTACATTCTCTGTGGTCCTTGTCTTGAAGGGAGATGAGGACAGGAAGAGACAGCTCAAGGGAAGCACTAGCATTTGAGTTTGAAGGCTGCTGTGACTTCTGGAGGCTCTGACTAGTTTTAAGACATTGGTGGAGGGTGTTGGTGATTGAATTATCTGTGGACATTTCTGAGGCAACAAGAGAACTAAGCTTTAGGACCTAGGGTCTCCCTAAAATAAAGGGTAAGGAACAGAAGAAGAGGGGATGGAGACTTAGCTCAGTGGATTAAGACCACTGGCTCTTCTTCCAGAGGACCCAGGTTCGATTCCCAGCACCTACATCACAACTGCCCGTAACACCAGCTCTAGGGGATCCTATGCCCTCTTCTGGCCTCTAAAGTCATCAGGGCACATGTGATGTACAGACATACATGCAGGCAAAACACCCAGACACATAAAGTAAATTTTAAAAATTAAAAAGAGAGTAGAAAAGCCGTCCCCTGGATTGTGGCTTGCGGTGGGGAAGGCTACGTTGAACAGGGTCCTCAGGCAGGCTTTCCACAGTTCTCTCTCCTCTGCAGGCAGCTCCTGCAGCCTCCTAACCCAAGACTAATGTCTAGGCTGAAGCCACATCATAGTTGGCAGTGGGGGGAGAGGGGGCAATGGGAGAGCTGAGGGAAGCGTAACTTCGGGCCATCCTTGTTAAACAACTGACTCAGCGGCAATGCCATAACCAAGAGGACCCAACACACTTGAATGCAGCTCTCCCAAAAGTCAACGTCCTTCCAGCCCCTTACCTCTCCTTAACCTCTTCCCCAGCCTGGGCTGGAACTATGTGAATTATAACCGGGGAAACATCTAAAAAAAAGTAGGAGAAAGGGCTGGTGAGCTACCTCAGCAGGTGAAGGTGCTTACTGCCAAGCCTGATGACCCGAGTTCAGTCCCCAGGAACCCACATGGTAGGACAGAACTGACTCCTGCAAACTGTCCTCTGATCTCCACGCCAAGAAGTGTTGTGTCCTCACCTCAAAAAAATATATGTAATGAAATTTTAAAGGTGGGCCTGGAAGTAGTGGCCCATGCCAATCAGTCCAGCACTCAGGAGGCAGAGGCAGGTGGATTTCTGTGAGTTCAAGTCCAGGCCAGCCAGGGCTACACAGAGAAACCCTGTCTGAAAAGAAAAAAAAAAGAAGAAGATGGGAGGAAATAAGGGAGAGACTGTTTATTCAAGGCCTGGGTTTCTCTGTCTAGAAAACTGGGTGAGAAGTCCCTAGCTCACTGCTGCCACCTTTACAAAAGCCTGTAGATGGTAAAGAAAAAAAAATTAAGTCTAGATGGGCCTTTAAACTAGCAGAGAAGAGCTGGGAGCAAGCAGCCAACCTCTGTATTGTTCCCTGGGCCCTAATCCTGGCAGTATTTATTATTACACGTGCACTTCATTATCTCTGCTAATAAATTACTACTAATAACAATTATTTTTATTACCCAGATTAATTTAGCCTTAACTCATTAAAACAGTGTGCTCTTTAATCGCCAAATCCATTAGAACACAGTCATCCGTCAACAGGAATCTCCTGGTGATGTGACAGGCATCAGAACTGTTATGTTTATTATTTATTCATCACCATGATTGTTGCTGTAATTATCCTAATTATCCATGGAAGCAGCAAGAATTTATGCCCTTCCATCCTTAGCCAGTGGGGGATCCTGAAATGGAACCCAGGGGTCCCAATTCTCTACTCAAGACGGAAAGCCATTGAGGCATCCAGCTCCTCTTAGAGGCCCTAGGAAAGATGGGGGAATTGAGGTTGCCATGGAAGCCAGAAGGCAGCCTGTTCCTTGTCAGGAGAGAGTGCCAAGAAAAGAAACTGAGGCAGCAGTTGGACCAGGGGAACCGAAATAGTCAAGGAAAGCACTCCCGTCCCCAGTCCACGCTGGGGTCTTGGGAATGTAGGTGTGGCTCCCCGAAGTTGCCAGCCTGGTTCATAGAGGACTGTTGGCTCACCGATTTGCTGGGTCTCTTCTATACTAGGCTCTGTGCTGTGAATAGGACAAGAGAGGACAGTTGGGTCTCTTTCTCACTCCAGGTGAGAGGCTGATCCTCAGGAGTTTCCTTATGGCACAGTCCTCAATTTATATCTCTGTCAGCTTTGTCCTCCCAGCTTTCACCCACATATAGTACTCACCTTCCCACATCCCCTCCCCTGGACAAACAGCACACTGACCACTGGCATGTCCTCACACAGCCTCTGCCTGTAGCCATGTTTATCAATTTTGTGTCCACCCTGACCTGTCTGAACAGCTCAGCCGCTAACCTAGAACCCTTCCCTCAGGCTCCTCAGCCTAATCACTAGTGCCAGGCGCCATCAGATTGGGGGTATTGACGCAAGGCTATCCCTGTGGAGGGAGGGCAGTGGACCTTAGACAAGGGTCCTTAGGCACCAGGCATGCAGATGGCAAACCCCTTTCTCTACTCATCCTGCCCAGGGAAGGACCAAAGGCCAGAATTGGTCTGCCTTCCCAAAGGACTGGAAACCTCTTTGTAAGCGGGAAATTAGGCACTCAACGCCCATGGTGGCCTCTGATCCTGAAGGTATGGAAGGCAGAAGCTCCTCTCCTCTGTTTCCACCCATTGCACAGCCCGGTCATAGTTTCCTCTGCTTAGTTCAATGTTCTCACCTACCTCTGAGCCAGCCTTCCTCTACATTTGACCCTTTCCTTCCTCTTTAGTGGTATCTCCTAACCTGGTGAACCCGGGTTCAACATGCTTTTCTTCCGGCCAAGTGGTTCTGAGCCAGGGTAGGGCCGACCCACTGAACCACTCTCTCAGCCAGCGCATCTTTAATGTAGTACCTATTGAGTGTGACTGTATGACCACATCTACTGTCCCTACTACATAAACCCTTGGTGCCAAACAAGCCTCACTCCTTGTTGTCTGGGGGGGCGGGGGTCACGACAAATATGTGGAATGATTAACGAGATTCAGCGAGCCTCTTGGACAATCTGGAAGAAGTCACAAGAGGATGTGGGGGAGGAGGCCGCAGCGTCCATTGTTGCTCTTAGTCATTTTTTGTTGTTGTTGTTTGGGGGGATGTCTTGAGTAACTGTCAATGTGTGGAGTCTTTGAAACCCTAGAATGGCCCTCAGTGAGCCTCTGGCAGCCTGGGGTCCCCTCACCTTGTGAACTCTTCTTCATCAGGCTGTGCTAACACCCAGGCTCTGAGGGAGGGGAAGAGGTTTGGGGAATGGTTTCAGTTCCCAGAGACTAAAGCAAGTGACTGCACTACAAGTACCGGCCATCTTAGGAGCCTCCTCAGGCCCAGTTGCTGGGACCCTGCTGGGACCCCTGTGGTGGGGCAGAGTCCAAGGGCCTAGCAACCACTCTTCAATCCCAGCAAGCCCCCAGTCCCCTAAACCTCGTCTTTGGGCCAGCTCAAACTTTCCTTGAGGAAGGAAGGAATGCCATCAATGAAGGTGACATTGCTGCATGCCTTATTGGTGATTAATAAGGGGACTTGTGGGGCTGTCTGCAGAATGTGCTTTTGCTGGATTCCGGGGCCTTCCCATTTGGTCAGGAACCAAGGACAAAGAGGAGAGACACCAGAAGCCCGACAGACACATATGGGGAGAGAGACGCAGCAGTAGAGAAGGTGGGATGGGGGGTGGGGGAGGTTTGGACCCAGAGAAGAGAGACAGAGATGAATGGCAGGTTCCGGGAAAGAAATGGTCAAGAGGCAGAGAAAGAGGCAGAAACCATAGAACGGAGTTGGGGGGAGCAGGCAGACGAAAGAAAAGAGGACAGACTTCCACGCAGATACGCTTTCTGCCCACTCTCCTGTCCCCAAACTTTGCAGATCCCAAAGCAGGGTAGTGCTGCAGTGGGAGGGTCCCGAGAAGATCTAGAGTCTCAACCACAGGGGATTCCTTCTAACTTTCACTTGCCTACCTCAGTTCTGACCCTGGCCTCTGAGAAGAGAAGGTTCAGCCTGACCACGCCCCCGGGGTGGGGCTCATGTAACCCCGAGGTGAGAACGCTGGGAACTGGGAACCCAGGGTGGGTGGTTCCAAGGAAAACGTGCGCCCGCGGTCCCTGTCTCTGACACACGCACTCGGGGGAACAGAGAGGACCCTTCCAGCTCCCTATCTTGTAGGATAGTGGAGGAGTTGGACCTGGAGACCTTAAGGAGGGGAGTTTCTATCACTCCGCCCCGCCCCTGGAGGAAACTTTTTCCCCCGGAGGCGCTGGACAGCTCTGATACTCTGGGAAAAGGTTGCGCATTCCAGGGGGTTTGCAAAGGGTATCAGACCAGCTCGATGGTTCCTTCTCTAGAGGCAGAGATGTACTGCAGCTAAGGCTATTGGGCGCCGGACTCCCTCTGCCTTTGTGCCCAAAACATTTCCTGCAGCCCTTCTCCTCCTGTGCGCACAGCCACTCGGCTTAGCGCCCTCCGGCGCGGAGACTGCTTCTCCTTATCGGTGCCCTAGAGCATATCCTTGCTGTTCCCTTAAAGCCAGTCGGCGTCGGCTTGAATTTTAGCTCTCAAGTGAAATCAGCCTGAATCAGCCTCCCAAGGGCCAAACCCCCAAGGATCAGTCCGTGCGCCCTAGAGCCTTATGATCTGACTAGTTGGATTTATCTTTACGCATTTCCACTCCGCGGGCGCCCTGTAGCATTTGCCTTAGAGCTCAAGCCCAAGGGCTGAAGAGTCAGGGGTGCCCGTTAATTGCAACCATTCATCATGTGATAGTTAAGGGGGCCGCTTTAGGGTCTCCACCTACGCCTGCCTGGTGTCCCTGCCGACTCTGATCCAATACGCATTCTCCTTGGGGTTCCCTGGGTGCCCTGCCCCCAGGTCAGCCCCATGCCCCCTCATGGCCCACCTGGCCGTTCTTGCAGAGGTCCGCCCACATACTGGTGCCGTCGCCGCCGCGCATGAGGACGTGGTAGGTGAAAAAGTAGGTGCCAGGAATGTTGCATGTAAACTTGCCGCTGGCCGCATCGTAGTTGTTGCCTAGGTTGGTGACCACGTCGTCAAACTTGAGCACCTCGTAACCCTCATGAGGGTTCTTGAGGCCGGCGTAGAAGGCCACGCGTGGCACCGTGGTATAGGTGGCCGTGCTGATGGCGCCGCTGCCTCCTGAACCCGGCAGGCCAGGAGGGCCAGGCTTGCCTGGCTCACCCTTCTCTCCGGGCGGTCCCACAGGACCCGGAGGACCCCGGTCCCCTGGAGGCCCGGGGGGGCCCGGCTTGCCGGTGCGGCCCGGCTTCCCCTGGGGGCCCTGCACCAGCGTGGAGGGCGGGGGCGCACCGCTCTGCTCGCTCAGAGCGTCGCCGCCGCCGTCGGACCGCGCGCCGGCGCCGGGGCCCCGCGCGGGGTAGGGGTCGCACACCATGCGGCAGGTGCCCAGCATCTCATAGTGGCCGTCCGGGCCGCCCGAGCTCACCAGCACCGGGATGAGCACCACCAGCACGAGCAGCATCACCACGCCCGCGGCGGCTGCCAGCAGCGTTTTCCGGCCGGCGCGGAGCCTGGGGAGAGCCGGGCCACCCGGCCGCGCCGTCGGGGCAATGGTGCCGGCGGGTAGGGGGCGCGGGCGCGATGCCCGCGCTCAAGGGCGGTCCGGCGGGGCTGCGGGCATGGGGCCGGGGCCCGGGCGCCGCGCTGCGCTGCTTGCGCTGCGGAGCCCAGCAACCGGCTTCGGCCTCGTGCTTCCCTCCCGCTGCGCTGCCCAACTGAACGCGGCGGCCGCCGCCTCCCGCCTTGCGCCTAGCTCCTCCCGCCTTCTCCGGCTGGGGCCACCGCCCCCTCCGTTGGGCCCCGCCCACCCGCTCCGCCGGTCTCGGAGAGGGCGAGGGGTGGGGCTGCGGGCGGGACAGGCACCTAATTGGGCCGCGGCAGCCGTGAGGCGGGAGGGGCAGAGGGGGGCGGGGTTTATGGGACTCCGGTGGGCGCCACAGAGGTAGCGGGAGACTGAGGCTGGGAAATGGGAAGGGGGCTAGAGTCAGGTAAACAGTGAGGATCCCAGAGGGAAGGGATGAGTAAGACCAAAGAGCCAACGGAAGGGAGAGGCAGAGAGCTCAGAGTGGCACTGAGATAGATGTCCCAGGGGTCAGTCCCGAGGAAAACCGTTAACTGAGGGGCAAAGGACCACCACCTGCAGGAGGTTGAAGGATGAAACACGGCCCCTATCTGCAGGGGAAGAGAGATGTTGAAGGGTGTGTGTGTGCCAAGTGAGGAGCAGGAGGACAGACCAAGAAAGAAGGACAGAGTGAAGGCCAAAGCCAGGAAGGAAGACTAGGGAGGGGCCATTCTGTGGGCACCCAGGCCTCGCATCCAGATAACCCATCTGGATCCTTTGCTTTTTTTAGGGTGCCCAGAGGGACCTCTGAATTCTAATAGCAGCCACCTCGTCTTTATTTTTCTTTTTTTCCTTTTTTTAAAAATAATAACTGTTGGGGGGGGGGACACCTTCTCCCAGGGTGGCAGCGTCTTCAATGCCTCCTTTTCTACTGCCCCGGGGCCATCTGCCAGGCTGCCCCTGCCTGCGGCTTCTTCTTCGAGACTTCCTCTGATCCCAGCTACTAGCTAGACAAGGGAGAAACAAGGACCCTGAGAGGGTGCGGGCACCCCATGTTATCTCTTAATGCTAACCAGTCCTGGGTAGTGCTATTTTCCAGCTGCCAAAAGAGGAAGGGTTGATCTCCCCTAGCCCCTTCGGGGACTCCCTAACTCCTGTCCCCATCAGGTTGTATGAGGCTCTCCTCTTCCTGAGTGCAGTAAAGTGTTTGGGTTGCATAAACTGAAATGTGTCTGCTTCCATCAAAATATTTGTCATATTATTTGAAACCCAGCTCAAGCTGCCTCACTTAGTGGTCCTTCTTCACCCTGCTTTTCCTGAGGAGGACTGTGTCTTTCCGAGGCCTCTGGCCACGATAAACAATGGCACTCCAGCTCATTCTCTTTGGCTGCAAGACTTCTCGCAGCTCACACTCCCACCACCGGCCTCCCACCGTCCACTTGATTCTGACTATTCCTCGCTAAGACTGAGACTAAGGAACACAGGAATAACCAATGGAAGGAGTGGGGGGTGGGCGGGACGCTGCCAGAGAGGACCTTCCAAGTAGGAACCCAGGTCAGAATGACATGCATCACCAAGGAGGAGGGAGCTGAAACAAACACACTGTGTTGGATGCTTTGTGTATATGAACACATTTGATCTTCACATCAGCCTAGATATAAAGTCCACCATTATTCTCATTTTACAGTTGGAGAACAGAGGCTCTGAGAAGTTAAGAGATGTGCCCCAAGTCACCAAAGAAAGATATGGCGGAGGTAGAATTCAAGCCTGTAGTCTCGCTCGCAGCTGTTCCAACCTCAACGCGCGACAGGGTCTCTAGGGACTGGTTATTGTCCAAAGTGCAAGGTGATGCGAGCATGCCTTGGTGTCCCTACCCTACTCCAGGCAGACGCAGGCCGAGTAGCCCTCAGCTCTCAGCTGTAGGTGGCCTCCTGGGCCCTCGGGACAGTTTCTTAAGTGCAATTCCCTTTAGAGCGACCTGTCTGGTGACCTGAGTGGCACGTGCGTGGCCATGGGAGTATGATTCGTCCAGACTCCCAGCTTTCAAGACACACGCCCGAGCCCCTTGTCCCTTAGGCTCCCGGCGTTCATTAGTTGCCCGCAGCCTTAGCTTGGCAGGTGGGGGAACCAACCCAACAGCCTGTGGCCGCTAAGGAGGGGGCGAAGGCGGCCACCCCCGCGCTCGCCTGGGCGTCCGAGAGGCGCGCTCGCCGCCGAACCGTGCTCCGCCCACCGCCCCGAAAGCGCGCCCGCTCCCCTGGCGCGGTGTGGCGTCTCTGTCAGCCCAGCCGGATTCTCCCCGCTTCGCTGGAGTGGAAAATAACGGCTTCAAACTTTGCAGAAAGGAGCTGGTGCCAGCACTTTAATTAACAGCCATCTTGGCCTGTGAGCCTGAGCCACCGCCTCCTCCCCTGGGCTCCTCCCCTGGGCTCTCGCGGCCGGGCCCAGGTCCCACAGGAGACCGTCCTTAACCTCCCGGAGCTCAGCACTCCTTTTATCAGAGAGATCAAGACTGGACGGACTGAGAGGATGCTGCATTAACGGCGTCTCCCCATTTTAATTCGTAAAAAAAAAAAAACAAAAACAAAAAACCTCGTCCAAGCTTTCTTCATTCTCAAAAGCCGGATCCAAGATTCTGGAACTAAAGAACTAGGTGCCAATTCCACCTGGTGATTTTAGATCAATGGCCTTGCCTCCATACCTCCTGTGTCCTCCTCTGGCAAAAGGGTGGTTGTGGGGGATTAAATGAGATATAATGTATGTAGAATGTAATATAATTGTGTCACCTCAAGCCTAAGAAAGTCCTCTTACCACCCACTCTTGGCCTAAGTTGGCTGTGTGTAACGCTCTCTTTCCTGAAGATTGTAGTATTTGGGCTAGGAGAGGACAAAGGGTGTGTGTGTGTATATTTCTAGGTTTAGAGGGGGCACATAGATTTTTTTTTTTTTTTTTGGACAGGGTTTCTCTGCGTAGCCCTGGCCCATCCTGGAACTCACTCCGAAGACCAGGCCAGCCTTGAACTCAGAGATTCACCTGCCTCTGCCTCCCAAGTGCTGGGATTAAATGAGTGCACCACCACCGCCAGGCCCCACACCCTTTCTTTACTATGGGCCAATACTAGGGGCTTAGGGGTTCGGGAGGGCCCCCCCCCATGAGGCTTCTGCCAGGAGGGCAGGTAGCACCCTGCTGCGGCTGGAATTCTGTAGTTGTTGAGGACAAAAATTCTGGCTTCAATTTCCCTCTTTTGAGTGAGGCTTCATCAATGCAGGCCTGTCCATTTTCGTGGGGGGGGGGGTAGGTCCTCAGTGCTGGAGTGAATTGCTTGGGGGGCACAGGAAAAGGAGTAAAAGTTTTCTAACTTATGTGTGGCTGCATTTAGGGGTGAGTAGTTGTTCCCTGGTGCTGGGAGGTGCTCTGAATGAACGTGAGTGGGTGTGAACGTGTGAGAGACTGTCAGCGGTGTCTGATGTGAGTGATGAAGGCGGAGCTGCGCTCTGACTCAGCAGCGCGGAGCTCTGCATTCAGCTGTTTTTGCCTTGACTGGAGACACCTGGGTACTGCAGGACGGTAGTGGTGATCTGCCCCACGAAAAGAGCTTAGTGGAAGCACTCTTTGGCAGGCCACACCACCAGAAAGAAATTATAAACGCTAAGGTAATATTAATGCAGCCAATGTGGGTTTTTATCCACTTACTAAATGCCAGAACCCATTTTAAGCACTTTATATATATTCCCTTCTTTAAAGTTAATAACTGATTATCCTGGACTTAAAGTTATTATGTGTCTTTCAAAAATGATTATGTTGTGTGTTTGAGTATTTTGCCCACATGTATGTCTGTGTACCACGTATGTACCTGGTGCCTGTGGAGTCCAGAAGAGGGCATCAGAGTCCTTGCAGTTATAGATGGTTGTGAGCAGCCACCATATAGGTGCTGGGAATTGAACCTAGGTCCTCTGGAAGAGCAGCCAGTGCTCTTAAATGCCGAACCATCTCTCTAGGCCCTAAAGTTATTATATGTCTCTATTTATTTATTATTCTTAGATAAGTTCTTTCTATGTAGCAGTGCCTGTCCTAGAATTTGATATGTAGACCAGGCTGGCCTTGCCACTTTTTGCGTGGGGGGTGGGGGGAAGGATTCGAGAAAGGGTTTCTCTGTAGCATTGGAGCCTGTCCTGAAACTCACTCTGTAGATCAGGCTGACCTCGAACTCACAGAGATCTGCCTGGCTTGCCTACCTAGTGCTGGAGTTAAAGGCATGCACTACCACCTCCCGGCTCCAGGCTGGCCTTGAACTCATAGCGATCCACCAGCCTCTGCCTCCTAAGTGCTGGGATTAAGGACGTGTGCCACCATGCCCAGCACTGTGTCTCCATAGTACAAACCTCAGGGAAGATACTGTTATTTGGCCTGTTTTATGGCTGAGGAGTCCAGATTCGGGTAGGGGTTTGTACTAGGTATTCTGAAGCATAAAAGACGCATGGATGAAGACTGGTGAGCCCACGGGGCTCTAGGGAGGCATTACAGAGAAAGTACCTGTCTGTCTATTCATTCATCTTTCTTCCATCCATTCTGTAAAACATTTTTAGCTGACTAGGGGTCCACTTTATTACCACGGGACATAATGATGAGCAAGGAAAGGCTTCCGACCTCATGTAGTTTACAGCGTATCACTGGACTCTGGACTATTGAACAAGCGGTGGCTATTAAGCTTGACAAGCTTGCTGCCTGGATGGGTGAGAACGTGTGACATCCACACAGGATCCTTCTGGAGGCTGGAAGGAAGGGACACTTCCTGATCCACGTGTTATTTAAATTAAGCCCTGACAAAGGGAGTCAGCAAGGTGAGGGGATGGCTGTCAGAGGGACTGGGGAGGGGGATAAGAGATTTGTATAGCTGGAGGGAACAGCCTGTGTTAAGGACTGAGCTTGTGGGGTCCTGTGGGCTGTGACGGAGTTTACAATTTATCCCAAGGCAATTAAAAACTACTACTGAAGGATGTTGAATGAGAAATATGATCAGAATTTTTGCATGAGAATGATTACTCTGGTTCCTGTGGGGAAGAAAGATTAAAATAGAATATTTGTGGAGAGACTAGGAGGCGGTTGTGATCCAGGTAAGACGTGATAGTGGGCAGGCAAAGGTTTAAGTTAGAACTGATGAGGGGGTCCCTAAAAGGATAGGGAGGACTTCCAGCTTTCTGGAAGGATCTTGAAATGTATATTAAGGGAATGAAGGATGGGTGGATGCTGCTGCCATTGCCTGGGTAATGATATGGACTATGTGCTTTTGTATTCTATTGATCGCATCCTTACTAGAGTCTAAGGAATACGCACCGCCATTTCCACGTGGAAGAGAACACTTGGGGAGAGAGGGGCTAAGTAACTTGCCCAGCATTATGCAGCCAGTAAAAGGGAGAGTCAGGACTGGAACACTTGTCTTCTGGAGCCTGGATTGGGGCCCTTCATCTCTCCGTCCTTCCCAGGCACATCTCTGAGATGGGAGACAAAAAAGAGGACTTTAAGATCAAGGCCCAGGTGTATGAGAGGTGTGTTTTGTTTCTAGTCTCTAAGCTCTGGCTTGGGCTGGGTAGGGAGCTAGGCATCCGAGGCAAAGACTGGTTTAGAGGCCAAGTTTGGCTGGCAGTGGGTGTAGTGTGGGGAAGTCTTGCCACATTTCAGGATCTCCATTTTTCCTCCTCCTCCTCTTCCTCCTCCTCCTTCTTTTTCCTAAGGCAGGGTTTCTCTCTGTAGCCCTGGCTGCCCTGGAACTCACTCTGTACACCAGGCTGGCCTCAAACGCAGAGATCCACCTGCCTCTGCCTCCTGAGTGCTGGGATTAAAGGCGTGCGCCACCACACCCCAGCTAGGACTTCCATTTATTTCTCTGGTCTGAGTAATTGTCCAGGAAAGCTCTGAAAGACTGTGTTACTCACAGTAAGGATGTCTCCCCAGTGGCATCCATTAAAATATTTCCATTCCCACCATGACATTTTAATTTAGACTTTTCCAGAGCTTTCATGAAAGGCCTTCCATAATTTAAACCCCCTCCCCCTTGGGGAAGTATGATATTGGGTCAGAAAGTACAGGAGAATAGAATTTGAATTGTGATTTGTGGGGAGGGGTGCATACCTCAATAGGCTGATCCAGGCTGGCTCTCAGAACTCAATTCTGACCCATCTCAAAGGATGGAAAGGAGACCTCCTCCAGGTCCCTGCCTTCAGCCCCAATCTCCTGTGGAGGACAGAGGAATCCAGGAACAAGAACAAAGTTCCCAGGTCACTGGTAGGTTTTCTCAGCCCTCTGTCACCAGAGAACCTGAACCTCATGCCTGGGGGGCGGTGAGGAGGAGTTCCAGGAGCCTGCCCAGGCCTGTGCACCCTGCCCCACCCATTCTGATCAGTAGCTGCCTATTGCCATCTCAGATCCAACTCCAGGGAGACAGCTCAAAAAAGGCCCTGGCTGAGGGTGGAGGAGCACCAAGGGGAGGGGCTGTTTCTCCCAGCCCAGTCTGCCTCCCCCAGCTGCATGTATAAGTGATGAGGCTCCACAGGGCCAACAGGAACCAATATAATAGCGGGTGCGTAGGGTCAGCTGGAGAGACAGATATGGGGACGCAGGAGTGACAGGCAGTGCAATTATGCTGAGCCTTCTGCAAAGGCGACAGCGGAGACCCATCTGGCCAGTATGATCCGCAGGCTCCCCTTAGGTTTCCTCTCCACAGGCCTTAACTCTTCCAGCCCCGCCAGAAAAGTGGGAGAAGGCAGGATAGAGAAGAACCCGGGGCTCCTGGGAAGTCCAAGAGGGGCTTCAGAGGTTTCTGGATCCAAGGATGGGAAGCTGGGAGTGGGGAAGGTCTTCTTGTTTCCAAGAAGGATGACTTGGGAAAACCCTCTCTTCCAAAGCATTGTATTCTGTTTCTGGAGGGGAGAAACTGGGGATTGAACCTGGGACTTCGTGCCCATCAGGCAAGCACTCACTCTACCATTGAGTTCTGTTCCTAGTGTTACACTCCCAGCCTACTTTTTAATTTTTATTTTGGGACAAGATCTTGTTATATTGCCCAGGCTAGCCTTGAACTCTATCCGTAGACCGGACAGGCCTTGAATTTACTATTCTCCTTAGCAGTTGAGAGCATAAGCCTGTGTCATCCTGCCAACTCTTTTCCCTTTTAAGGGAAAACCTCCCTGCTTATACCTACTTCAAGAGGCAGAGACAGGATCTCAAGAGTTCTTAGAGACCTCTGCATTCACAGACAGGGAAACTGAGTCCCAGGGAGGGAGGGTTGGTTTGCCCAAAGTTGCAGAGTCAATCTGAGGCAGAACCATGATGCATCCCTGGGACTCTTTCCAAGGTCTCACTAGGGAGAGAGGCTCAGAGAGAGAAGGAGAGGCAGATAACATGCCACTGGACTGGGTGGTCCACACAGACCCCCTGAGGGTGGTAATGGAGGATGGGGCTTCAGGGAGTTACAGCAGCTGGGTGGGAGGGCTGGGGCTATGGCTGTGGTAGTATCTTTGGAGAGCCCAAGTCAGCCAGGGTTGGGGGTAGCATGGTGCTCTGCTTCCTATTGTGTTCAGAATGGGTTTCATTTCTTGATGAAGAGGGGTACGCGAGCGCCATGGAGACAAGTAGAGCTTAGCAATGGGTACATAGTACATGTTCATTAAGTGGAACCCTAAACAGGACTGGCTTCAAGGGCATGAAGACTGTGTATGAAGCCTGCATTCAGAATAGACTTGACTTGGGTTGAATGCTCAGTTCTCACCACCCTGAAGTTCCTACCAGTTTTTGAAACGTTTTTATTTCCCACTAGGCTCTGCAAAGAATCTGGCTGGTTCTGCCCCTGAAGTGGAAATGTAGTTTCATCTTTGAGAGACTTTTCTGTTCCCTCCCTGCCCTAACACCACCAGCCCAATATCCCAAAGTAGAGAGGGGACACAAATCTAAGAAAAACTGGTGTTTGGTGAGCTTCCTGGGGTCTTCACCCTACTATGGCTGACCATGCATATGTTGGGAGAACTTGGCACAGTGCACTGTCAGCTCCGATGTATTGTGCCTGCCTGGCCGTCTGTGTCCCACCCGTAACCCAAGGCCAGGGGTATACATGAAATGAGGGCACTGGGCACCAGACTGCTGGTCCCAGCTGGAATGTTCTGTCCTTTGGGGAAATGAAATGTAACCCCTCTGCTTTCTCCTCCCTTGGCCTCCTGCTGGGATAGAAAGGGTTGGTGTGTGTGTTTGGGGGGAGGGGGGTGCTGGGAGATTAATTAGCAGCCATGCCAGGCAGCAGGAGGTGGGGTGTAGAGTAGGCTGGCTTTTCCCTGCTATAGATCCACGCTCTCTGGGAGAGGCACTAGCTGGCTGCTTTGGGCTCAGGCTCGGCTATTTTAGGAATATTCTTAACCCTTCTCAAACCACTGACATCACAGATCTCTCTTCCAGAACACATGCCAGCTCCAGATCGTCCCTCCCTTCTGTTCCTCCTCCCGGCCTCTGCTCTTCCTCCCTAGCAGTTGAGAAGGTCAGAGTTGACCTTTGCCACAGAAAACACCTGGCCCTGAACCCGGTTCTTTTCCTGCCCAAAGCTCTTCACTAAAGGAGAACAATCCCTTGGAGGATTTTCCCCAGCCCTTCTCATTTTTAGCTGGGAACCAAATTCGGATCCTCTGTTAGAGCAGGAAATGCTCTTAACCACTGAGCCCCCTTCTCATCTTAAAAATGTGCAATGGAAGCCGGGCGGTGGTGGCGCACGCCTTTAATCCCAGCACTCAGGAGGCAGAGCCAGGCGGATCTCTGTGAGTTCGAGGCCAGCCTGGTCTCCAAAGCGAGTTCCAGGAAAGGCGCAAAGCTACACAGAGAAACCCTGTCTCGAAAAACCAAAAAAAAAAAAAAAAAAAATGTGCAATGGTTAGACCTGGATGCCAGAGGGTAAGATGGAAAACCCTTGGGCCCTCTGTACTCTGGCAGAGCACAGCCCCCCTCTGCCCGTATAGTTCCAGCTAGGTGACTCATACAAGCAGTCAGGAACCCTCCCTCGGAGTCACCAGGTTCCTCCTTGCCTACTTTTAAAATTCTTTCCTTTTACTACACAGCCTGGCTTCATGAAAACACCTAGGCAGTACAGACATTGTCTGAGCAAGGTCAAAGGGGGGACCATTAGGGGTCAGAGGGGCTCACTAGTCAGGAGTCTGAAATCGTCGGTAGTCTGTACTGGGTCCTTCTGCCACTAAGAGCGGGAGTCTGCCAGCTTTTAAGTGCTTCTGGTAACATGGGGATTGTAAGCTATGTGTAGTGACCCCTATCTTTGTTCCCAGCACTCAGAAGGCAGGAGCAGGCAGGTTTCTGGGAGCTGGAGGCTAGCCTAGTCTGCATAGCAAATTCCAGGCCAGGCAGGAAAAAAAAAAAAAAAAAAAAAGGATGGGGATGCCAGGCATGGTAGCACATTTGTAATTGAAGTACTTGGGAGGCAGAGGCCAGAGGGTCATAAGTTAGAGATCAACTTCAGCTATATAGCATATTCAAAACAGCCAGACAACTCCTACCACCAAAAAGCCAAAGCTTGTGGTGTGCCTGGTGCTATGGTAGGCACAGACGTAGAGGATTGGTTTTCACTCTCTGTCTAGGAAAAAGTACTCCTCTCCTCCAGCTCACCATGATGCCTGAGCACCCACCTTGGCCCAAAATGTAGGCAGCTTTGGGCAAGCAGGTCCTCCTCCTTCAGGTATTCATTCACTCCCAGCCCAGTTAGAGGAGTGATCGAGCTCACTGCGGCAGAGGGTAAATCCAGCTGAAGATGCTTTAGCCTACAGAGAGGAGTTCTCTGTGTCATCTAAGATGTAGGAAGATCCTTTCCTGTATCCCAGTTGAGACATGGGTAGGTGCAGGAGAAAGGCCCTCTGTTAGACAGGGGTTGGGCAGGCTTCCTGATTCAGAGCTGTGGCTGGTATTTCTAGACCTACAGGGGCCTGTGGGCTAAGCTTTGCCAAGCGGTGAACTCAGGAGTCCTGAACACCTGTCTCTCCACAGCAGTCCTGCCCTCCCTCCCATGGTCCTCACTTGCCAGATCCCTCCCCCCCAGCTTCCAGCCTGGGAGCCCCAGCTGGCGGAGGATGTCTTGCTCCTCAGCAGCTGGGATTTGTAAATATTTATAGGAACACGAACAGATCAGTGGCTGACAGGCCCAGGGAGCGGGCAAGGGCTCTCTCTGCCTTCAGCTCGGCAGCTTCCTTACTCTCTGGCCTGATTTGAGAGAGTCCAGGATGTAGTCAAATAGGGTGTGGGGCTGGCTGCTTCTACATCCAGGGATGCCAGCCGGAAGGAAGCCTTTGTCCATCTCTCCTCAGTTAGGTTTCCACACTCAGAGTCATCCCCATCCTTCCTCCTCACCCAGCCCACCCGAGGGCTTAGGAGGCCAAGGCCACACTCACCCCCCGACTCACACACATTATTTTCAACTTTCAAGGGCCTTCACTTGTACACTTGTGTGTACTCACACATTGCAATGCCCACATCTGCACTGATGCTCTCAGGCTCATGCCTTTGCACACACACACATCAGCTCACAATCATCAAAGAGGAAGCTCAGGTCATTCACTGTTGTCTTAATAAAGGTCCCAGGAGAGGTGGTGTGTGTGTGTGTGTGTGTGTGTGTGTGTATGTGTGTGTGTGTGTGTGTGTGTGGTGTGTGTGTGTGTGTAATTAAAGTGTAAGAAAAAAGGGGGAAATGGATAGAGGTCTGGACCAAGGGCCATTTGGAGTTGAGGTCAGTCTGGAGTGGAAAGAAGGAATAAAAGCAAGCCAAAGAAATGGAGACTGACAGGGGTTGAAGCAGAGGGGGGCAGGAGGTAGAGACAGAGGCCCCCCCCTCCACATGAGACGCTGTCACGTTGCTGCTCCAGTGGCCTGTAAGACCAGCACAGCCCCAGCTGGAGCTTCTCCCCTCTGGATCTTGTCAGTGTGGCTTTGCTCTGCTGCTTGGGCAGCCGGGAGTGGTGACAAGCAGCGACAACAGCGCCCAGGGCATCTGGCTGTGCCGCTCCAGCCTGACTGCCAGCTCACCCATCAGTGCCCATCTCATCACCCAAAGGGACCCAGAGGAGACCAGAGACCAGCACCATCCTTACCTTGAAGGGTCGCATCGGGGAAGAGAGCAAGTGAGTCCCACTCCCCAAAAGATGGACGGTGTTAACCAGGACCTGAACTCCTAAGTGGGGCTTGGGGAGCACGGAGCAGCTCTCTGTTTCCAGGAATCCACGGCCCATCAGACATGCAGAGGGAAGGGAGCACAGGCAGGGGCTGCGGGGAACATGGAAGCCACCGTGAGGAGGAGCCTGACTTGTGTTTGGCATAAACTTTTTTATTTCATCGGCTTTATACTACACATGAATGATGTTCCCATACCCCAGGCCCCTGGGTGCTGTGTTAAATAATTGTCCTCTCGCCTCGGGCCTGTCTGAGGGTATTAGTTCTGGGGCATCAATCAGTCAGTTTGTGCTCAGCAGTCTGAGGAGAACCATTTCTATAAAATCAGAAAGGGAGAGGGAAAAAAAAAGGAAGAAGAAGAAAATGCAGGGGAAATGGGGCTCACTGCTGGTTTCCCATTCTCCAGTTACCAGGGCTGCTCTCCCCAGGTCCTGACGTCCTGATTGATTCACGCTTTCACAGGTTCATTCATGTATTTACTCAGCCACCATTACTCATCCCAGTGCCAGGCCCTGTGCTGTGTTTTGGCAGCCAGTGAGAAAGCCGGCAAGGTTCCTGCTTGCTTGATGTTAAGAATTGGTTAAAGATGAGCAAATGCACAGCAGAGGGACTCCCTCGGGGTCTAGGGGCGATGCCATAGTGTATAGCTTGGAGACGTAGATATCTTGTTCTTCTGGCTGAAGGCTTGAGAATGATCCAGAAGCCAGATGTGGTGTTGCCTGTCTGTGATACAGACACAGGAGAGGAAGAGGCAGGAAGAGGAAGAGTTCAGGGCCAGCCTGGGCTACAAAACAAGACCTTGTTGGGTTTTTTGTTGTTGTTGTTTTGTTGTGTTGTTTGGTTTGGTTTTTGTTGGTGGTGGTGGTGTTGGTTTGGTTTTTTTTAAGGATTGGGGCCAGGAAGATGACTCAGTGGGTGAAGGTGCCTGTTGCCAACTCTGGTGACCTGAGTTTGGCCTTGGGATCTTCATGGTGCGAGGAGAGAACCGACCTCCAACTCCTACAGGTGTCCTCTGACTTCCACACATGTGCTGTGACATGCATGTATTCAAGCGCATGTGAACGCACACACACACAATAAATAAATAAATGTAAGAAAATTTTTAATTTAAAAAAAGAGGAAGAGGATCTGGGTGTGCTGGTATAGCAGCAAATGTCTAGACCCTCCCAAGCATTTAGGAGATGGAAACAGTAGGGTCTGGTCTTCAAGGTCATCCTCAGCTGTATCTCATGCTTAAAACAGTCTAGGCTTTATGAGACCTTCATGGGCACTCAGAACACACAGGCAAAATAAATACATAAACAAGCCACAAAATAAAGTGGTCCAGAAGCCTCTCCCATCCCAGGATCAACACCTTCCTGCTGTACACCTGCAGTTTGGCTGTCCTGAATAAGCCATCTAGGAATGGGAGCAAGAGTGGGGTTGGAGAGATGGCTTGGCGATTAAGAACCCTGGCTGCTCTTCTAGAGGACCCAGGTTTGATTCCCAGCACCCACATGACTACTCATAACCATCTGTGATTCCAATTCCAGGGGATGCAATGCCCCCTCCTGGCTTCTGCAGGCAGTAGGCATGTCAGTGGTATAGAGATGTATATACATGCAAGCAAACACCCATACACATGAAATAAGATAATAATAATAATAATAATAATAATAATAATAATAATAATAAAAGAGTGAGGTATGAATCCCACCTTGGGCAGTAATTGATCAGGTGACTGTAGGCAAATCCTCCCTGTCTCTGAGTTACTGCTTTTTTTTCTCTTTGGAATTAGGTAACTAATACCCATTATAGGCTACCTTAATATCAAAGGAGATTATACATGTAAACACCAGGGTTAGCGCCTGGCGTATAGTAGGGCCTCAGCTAATGCTTGCCCTTTTGCCAACTGTATGTATCTGCTGCATCTTTAACAGCCAGCAATTGGGTGCTGAAGCTTGGGGAACCAGGACTGCAAGAAGACCCAGCATTCCATTGCACCATATACCTCTGCTTCATGCTGTTCTTGAAGTCTGACTGCTTCAAGGGCCAGGGGTGGGGTGGGGGGGTGTCTCATTGTTTGGGAGGAGTTGGGAAGTCTGGCTTTGCTTCTGCACCACCCAGACATCACATGCCTGACTGTTCCCTCACTCTGACTCAGGTACAAAGCACATCGTTTGTGCGTGTGACCCTGATGTGGAGGTGGTGGTGGTGGTGGTGGTGGTGGTGGTGGTGGTGGTGGTGGTGGTGGCAGGTGGTGCTGGTGGTGGTCATGATGGTATTGGGGAAGATAATCGTGGACCTGCTGCTGCTGGAGGGGGAGATGGTGGTGAGAGATGGCGGAGGTGATGACAATGTGGTGGAACTTCATTTCAGAATGCTATACTCAGAGGAGAGCTAGAAGAAAGCTCAGTTTCAGCGGAGCCCGGAGGGCCTACTGTGTGCCAGGTCCTGTGGTGTTTGCTTCATTTGCACAGCATTGCTCTGGGAGTACTGTCTCCTCCCGCAGAGGAGTACACAGAGCCAAGCATGCTGAGATCTAGCAGTCAGAGGAGAGAATCATGAATCCCAGGCAAGCCTGGGCTACACAGTGAGACTCTGAATAAACAAAACTCTGAGCCCAAAGCTATCAGGTGACCTGCTAAAAGCATGGGAAGGTATTGAAATCCTTTGACTTCTAACCCATGTCCTTAGTTTTTCTTTGTTTAAAAAAAAAATGGCTGGGCTGGGCCTTGCAGATGGTTGGTAGGCATTCTACCAGTGAGGCGTATCCCTGGCTTCCGCTTTCCTTGTGCCATCACAAAGCCACCCACCTGTGTGCCAACAGGACAGGAAACAGCCACTCGGGGTGCTTCGATGACCAACACCTTCATTAGCAGACTCTGGCCGTTTCGTCTGTGCTTCCCGATCTCGGCAGCCTTTCCTTCAGCGGAGGATGGGGTCCTACCAAGGAAGATGGAAAGACCACCAGCCTATGGACCCTCATAGTCTTGCCAACTGGGACCTCCTCTGCTCCTGGGCAGCCTCTGTATCTGCTGTCCTCCTGACCCTGTGCACTGTCAAGTGCAGTCTCCCCTCTAGCCCCAGAGTGAGAGTGACAGGCGGCCCAGTTGCTGCCTGGCTCGTTAAATTGACAGCTCTGCTCCCAGATCTGAACACCATGCTATAGTGGCTCTGAGTGGCACGGAGGTGGAAAGGCATTGGCTGGCACCTTTCTTCCCTTGTCTCTGAGCTTTGAGATGGTAAGTTCGGGGATCTAGTGATCTTGCTCTCCTGGGGTCTTGGATTTTAGTTTTCTACTAAAAAACAAACAAACAAAAAACCAAAAAACAAAACAAAACAAAACAAAAAAAACAGGTAGCTCTGCCTTGACTCACCTGCAAGAGAATTGTGCTGCACATGATTCTCAGACACCCCCAACAGGAAGCCTTCTGGGATTCATCCCATCATCCCAGCCCTCTGGTTCTCCTGCATCATTCTTTCCATTTCAGGGATGTGTGTCTGAGTGTGAATCACGGTGATGGTGGGAACTGTGATGCTGACAGTGATGGAGGATGTGAGGGTGGTCTAGTCTAGTAGCTCTTGGGTGGTCACCATAGAGTAAGGTGTCTGGAGAGAAAGAGGCCGGCTGGCCATTTTTGCCTTCTACGCCTTCAACGCAAGCTGGCCTCGAACTCTCTACACAGCCTTGAATTTCCAATTCTCGTACTTGCACATCCTGAGTGCTGGATTACAGGTGTGGCCCACCACACTTGGTTTTAAATAGTGCTGGGACCGAACCTGGACTTCGTGAGTACTGGGCACGCACTACTCCAGCTGAGCACATGGCCGCCCCCCATGCAATTCTTTAATAGCAGCTGTGATTTATTGAGTGTTACCCAGTAAGCAAGTAACATGCCAAACACTTTATATATAATAATTCATTTACTCTTCCCAACAACCCTATGAAGTAGGTATTAATATTTTAAAGAAATGTTGCTGAGGCATGGAGAGGTTAAATACCTTACTTACTCAAGGTCATACAGCTAGCCCCAACCTACATGCCAATCTCAACTCCTGCCCTCCATTTCTGTTTTCCCAGTAGAGTTGTGTCCACAGAGGGAGAGCTGACAGTTAAGGTGTACGACCAGTGGGACTTCAGAGGGCTCCGCTGTCTTGGGATGTCCAGGCCACAGCAATCCAATTCTTTTCCCCTGGACACCAGGCGTCTAACGCTCAGCTCTGATGGGGAGCTGGGATAGTGGACATGGAGAGGAGAACTGCGTTCCACAGTAGGGGCAGGGCTGGCCTTTGGGAGCCAGCTCACCCCAGAGCTCCAGCCTGGGGCTCCCGCCCTCGGGAGCTCCATCTTGCTGCCTCCCTCCCCTCAGGATCTCATTATATCCCTAAGAGAAACTGACAGCCTCAATATCTTACTTTGCAAATATAGTTTATTCCTTCAATAAAGCCGCCTGCGCAGGGGAATGTTTAAGCCCGGGTCTCCCCCGAGAGCCTCATTTGAATTTCTAAAGTCTTTAGTCGGCTCCTCCAATGGGGCAGCTGGGTAATGAAAACGCAGCAGCCGCTTAGACGGGATTCATTTCCTGTCTAGGTCTCTGCTGCCGGAGGAGCTGGACTGACCGGAGGGAGAATGCTGCCTACTCGGAGGTCGTGGCACGGGCCTGAGCACCCAGCCCACTGGGTGGAGGCTCTGGATCACGCCCACGCAGATGGGTCTGTGTGTTCCGTGGGGGGGGTGGGGAGGTAGGTAGGGGTTCAGTCTCCAACTCTCCTCGACCAGGTCTTTCCTGATGGGCTCAGCTCAGGGACCCTCAGCCCATGAGTCCCTCCATGGGATCTCCCTGTTGGAGGGTCCCTCCATGGAGACCTCCTGGTGACCCCTCCAAGGGTCCCTATCCCGGGACCCTTTAGACTGCATTTCTCAGACCAGGATGCTTCTCTGGAGGCCAAGCCCACCAAATCCCTGGAGATGAGGTCTCCTCTCTGACAGGACCCCCTCACTCTAGGGCAACCCCTATCCCAGGCCCCCTGGGAGTCTCTAATTAAAGGGCCGGCACGCCCCTCTGGGACTCATTAGGCCCGCTGTGCAGAGAACATTTAATCATTGCTCAGAGCATCGATTGGAAAATCAATTTCTTTGTCTCTCCGCACGAGGCGCGCTGGAGAAGTGGGGGGGAGCGCTGACCTCCTTCTGCTGCCGTGTAAAGCGCTGCACATTTAATCAGGGAACAGAAATCAATTAACCACTTACGAGGTTGGCTTTAGTTACCGAGTCGGCAGGGCCCGCGCCACAGCTCAGCCGCTGACAGTAGCGGATCTTCTCGCCAGCTCTGCTGCACGGCTCTGTCTCCCTGCATCTCTCTGGGTTCCTTCTTTCCCAGAGTGCTCTGGGTTCTCATCATTTAGGCAGATGCTCGTATAACAAGCCTCCCCAATGCCCAGTCTCCCTCTGTTACCTTCCTGTGCTCAGCTCTACCCATTCCAAGAAGTCACACGGAGATTCACACCTTACTTAGCTTTGATACCTGGATTCCATGATGTCAGGGAAGTAATTGTCAGCCCGAGCGTCGGATACCTCAGGCCCACTTTACCCATAAAATGAGAATAACAGTAGCTGCCTCTCCAGAGTGCTCTGGAAATCCAATGAGATCATTTTGGGGAAGTGCCCACTAAGTAGCTTGAGCTCCATCCAAAGAACTTTGAACTCGCAGTAGGGGGGACAGTGTCCTCCCCACAGAAAGGGGTGGGTGTAGGCTGGGACCCTGTGGCCACAGCTCTCTTTCCTTCCAAGACAAGGTTAAGAGGGCGCAGGGCCCCCTTCCCCCCTCCATTTTCCCATTGTCTTTTGGGGGTCGCCTTGGAATCAACTGTGCCTCTGTCTCCTCACTCACAGCCACGACTTCCTGACCGCTCCCTCACCTGAGATTATGCCCTCCTCCCCCCAGCCCCAGAGGTACAGGCATTCCATCGACGCCTCACATACTCGAGTTACACACACCCAATTACACAGTTGTACACAGACTGCACGCCCCATTACACATAGTTTCACAGAGTTGTTCCTACGTTAAAATCCCAGGCATCCGATGCCCACATGCAGCTGTCCTTATTCCACTACACATTCAGGGAACACTTGCCTGGTGTCACACACACAGGCCCACCTCGGTCCCACCACCACACAGTGCGGCACCACAAGCACCCTCCCACACGCACACAGCCACGCAGGCTGGCGCACACCCGTTCCATAATAATATTAGACATGCCATTTCTTTTGCATGACAGTTCCAGTGGAGATGCTCAGAGCTGTCACTTGGATGAAAAATAATGCATAATCCTCGTCTTCCTTCCTTCCCTTTCCTTTCTTTCTTCCCTGTTTAATGAGCTCCTAAAAATATTCCTTGCTGTCTCGCCAAGGATGTGGGCTAAGTGTGAGTCAGGTCTTTCTTTGCTCTCCCCGTCCCCCACCGCCTCCCTCAGCCCCCCGAGTGGCAAGGAGGATGAAGGGTCACGGTGAGCTGCCATGCTTGGCCAAGCCCAGACCAGGTAGAAGGGCTACCACCCATGCCTTCCAAAGACCTCTGAGTCAGTACCTGTCCTCCCTTGACTGGCCCGCCTGAACTGGGGGTGAGAAGCCGGTGAGACATGGGTGGGGAACAAGCAGAAAGGCAACAACCCCTCACCCCTCACCCCCCCACACACATTAGCTTCTGGCCTGTTTCACAGGACTAACCCCATCCATCATCCCCCTGCCTCAGAAGGGAAATGCCTCCATGGAGGCACCATCCCTTCTCCACCTCCACCACCTGCTCCACCCTCCCAGAACTCAGAGGACAAAGAAGAGGGACAGTTAGAGCCTCTCTGAAATCCCAGTGTTTTCCAGCACCTTCCCTTGCTCTTACTGGGAAAGTTGCAACAGCCACATTTTCCTCACTTCATCCTTAAAAGCCCGGATGGACATCACCGCTTCCCTGAAGCCTTCCTGATTCACGCAGATTTTTGGACCCTCTACATGTTGGTATACAGTGATAATGGATTTACTGAAGAGAGGCGATTGTGTGTAATGGCCAGTGGAGACCTCCTGAGGGACTTCACACCCTGTTTCATTTCCTTAGTCATTCTCACCAGACACCAGCTCAGAGTTCTTGCCACTGCAGGCTGGGACCCCGCCTTGTCCACCCAGCTCTGGCTGAATGAAAGCTTGTGTCTCTAGAGTGACAGGACAGTGGGTGGGTGAGTAGGTACGTGGAGGGAGGGAGGGATGGGAGGTGATGGGGGAGAAGCTCGGGGGCCTGAGTTGGGGGCCTGACTGCTCACACAGCTTCTACCAAAATTCACTGATTTGGGGAATTTTGGGGTCCTCTCTTGATCTCAGTTTCTCCATTTATAAAACAGGAAAGCAGGGTCAGGTAGATCTCATGCAGCACTGACAATCCTTACTCAGTAATTCGGCGTCGCGTCAGAGTGGAAGCGTATAGCTTCTTAGTGTGCTATCCTACTGTGCAGGAAGCCTCAGGTGCTGGGGAGTGTGGTTCTGCTGGACCAACAGAACCATACTTCCAGACCTTCCGTCTGCCTCCCACCTGTTCTACACTATCTTCCAGACTCCTTATTCTGCTTCTGGGCTTTCCGTTCACCCTTTATCCCCGGACTGTTTTCTCTGGGGCTGCATCCTGCCCATCGGTCCCCTGGAGCCAGTTCCTTCCACCTGCTTGGCTCACCTCCTTCCACCTGCTTGGCTCGCCTCCCTCCCCAGCCCACCTGCTGCTGGAGCCCCCTCCCTGTGCACCTCCCCAACACTTCCCAGCAGCTCCAGTCCCGAAAGGTTAAGCTAATAGCAACTCCTTTCTCATCAGCTGCTCGTGTTTGCTCTACATAATTGCCGTAGAGGGGGGCTGGGTGGGGAGGGCCCTTTGAGTGGTGGCAAGTGTACAGGGCGGGGGGGTTGTGCAGGCTTGTCAGTGGGAAGGGGGACAAGGGACGGGGACATTTACAGAAAAGGGACGGAAGGCTGTGTGGGAGCTGAGCATATTGAATTAGACAGATGTGGTACAGTAGTCACCTGAAGAGGGAGGAATGGAGTCCAAAGAAGGGCTATCTAAGACAGCACCAGTCCTGGGAAGAAAATGCCACCATCAGTGGCTGTCAGTAGTGTTTACCAAGTATGGACTGTGAGCCAGATGCTTGCCTGGCTCTACCTCACCCGGTGCTTGCACAGTCTCAGGAGGCAGATTCCGCCGTTGTCCCCACGACTCCTTTTTCTTGTGCCCATTTTACAGAAGACAAAGGCTCCAGGAGGAAGAGTCATTACTGAGGCCACACATAGCTAAACAGCTGAGCCTCGGGGCCTGTGAACATGTGCTGCCACACCCACCTAAGACAATGGTGGCGGCGCCGCCTCCTCCTCCTCCTCCTCCTCCTCCCTTCTTTTTGAGACACAGTCTTACCATGTAGCCCCATGTAGTCCCTGGACAGGAACTCACCACATACACCACATACACCGGCCTGCTTCTGCCTTCTTAGTGCTTGGATTAAAGTCATGCACCGGGGTTGGGGATTTAGCTCAGTGGTAAAGCGCTTGCCTCGTAAGTGCAAGGCCCTGGGTTTGGTCCCCAGCTCCAGAAAATAAATAAATAAATAAATAAATAAATAAATAAATAAATAAATAAATAAATAAATAAATAAATAAATAAAGTCATGCACCACCATGCCCACCCACCTCCTTTTAAAGACAGGGTCTCATGCAGCTCAGGCTTCTCTCTAACTGGCTTTGTAGCTAAGGATGGCCTCAAACTCCAGATCCTCCTGCTTCGGTGAGCACCACCAGGCCCAGCGGGACACTGCTGTTAGTTGTGCCCTCTGCGTGGAGAGGGGGCTTGGTGCAGGAACCTGGGAGACAATTAAGTCGAACCCACTCCACGTCCAGCGTGGCAGAAGGAAATGGGTTTGTCCAAAGTCATACAGGAAATTGTCATCATGACTATGTTTAGTTAGATCCATGTGTGATGCTGAAGCAATTGCTCATCTTCCGGGTCTTGGTCACCTTAGGGACTTCTATGGTTGGGGTGCTAGGGTGAGGGGTAGTGAGACAAGACAAGGCACACCTCACAGGAAGGAGAGTGTGGAGCTAGGGGTATGATGTGCATGGTTGAGAAAGGGCACACCTGGAGGGGTCCACTCTCTGCCAGGAGTATCAGTCTTGGCCTCCTTCTGGGCTGAGTACTTTTAATAATTCATCAGGGACAGAGCGGGGGACAGAGCAGCGCACACAGGTGCAACGGTGGGGGATGAATGGGGCCAGCACTGGAATGTTAGAGGTCTGGAAGCCAGTTTGTCAGCTCCTCAGTCCGGTTCAGCTATGGCTTTGAGGCTCGTTGCCTATCACGGGCCCCCAAGTCCTTCCGACTGTAGCTCGTTGCATACTTGGGGATATGTCCCCACCTCCCACCAGCCCTACAGGAGGCAGCTGTGAAAGGCCAAGTGAAGACATCTCATTGGTATTCTGAGTGGCCAAGCCATGCCATGACTTTCTCTGAGAGACCCCCATCCTCTCCCTCAGCTCCACTTTTCAAAAGTTGTCCAAGGAACATCAATAGTGGAAATCAATTCATCAATGAGCATCTTGGCCTCATCACAACCCCATCCTTGGGAGTCTCACTGCATCCCTAAGCACTCCATCCCCCATGCACTATAAATTGCTTTTTTTTTTTTTTGAGGCAGGGTCTTAGTATCCCAGCCTGTCTTCAAACTCCCTGTCTAGCAGAGGATGACCTTGAACTTCTGATCCTCCTGCCTCTACCTCCAGAGCACTGGGATTACAGGTGTATGCCACCATTCCTGGCTTTATATGACACTGGGGACTGAAGCCAGGGCTTTATGCATGCTAGTCAAGCATTGCACCACGAGATACATCCCCAGCCCTCCACACACCACTTGTAGAACCCGGTCTTGCCGTCCCCCCTGACAGACCCCAGGAAGCCAAGCCCTTTCCACTCATAGGGCCTTTGCCTGAGTAAAGCAAGGTGCACAGCTTGGGGGCTGATCATGGAGCAGAGTCAGGAACCTATGACATTGTTGTGGCTTGAACCTTACTAGACACCACACAACATGAGAGGAGTGCCATGCCTTAGAGATGTGGGGGACCAATCACCTTCTTTCCAGTATCTAGACCCTAACATTCAACATCTACCTCTTACCACTGACTATGCAAGACTGTCAAACCCTGATCACCCCTTCACTCACGTTACCTCCCCACAATAATGACCCATGCTCCACCAACTATCAAATGCCTACTCAACCCTCATTACTGAACAACTACTCCAGATGGCCCAACACCAATATGTTAATACAATATCTCAATAGTGGCCTCCCAACACCAAATACCCAGCATGCCCATCCACCCCAACACCCAATAGTAGCCTTTATTAAGAACCCCTGAAACTGACACCTCAAATTAACCATAGATAGTTTTTTCTTCCAGTCACAGATCTAACAAGGGCCCCCAATCCTGACAATCATCCGGGCATTACTGTCTGCTGGAACATTCAGACGTCTGCTGGTGACTGCTGGGTTTATCTGGCTCTGACTGGAG